TAATTGGTCCTTCCAGGATATTGGAATTAAGTGTAAGGGTTTCTAGTCTTTAATCTGGGCTGGTTTATACAACAATAATACTAAAAATAAAGGATCTAGGGTGATGTCCTAAACAGTAGACCTTGTCACACAACAAGCTTGTTGACAGTAAAGTTAGGCAACTATAATTATGTCCCTTAAAAAAATTCCATTGACTTTTGTTTCATTTGAATCTCACATTTTTTTTTTTATTTTTTGGTTTTTCAAGACAGGCTTTTTCTGTATTGCTTTGGAGGCTGTCCTGGAACTTGCTCGGTAGAACAGGCTGGCCTGGACTCACAGAGATCCTCCTGCCTCTGCCTCCCGAGTGCTGGGATTAAAGGTGTGCGCCACCAACGCCCAGCTCATTTATTTTTTAATTATAGTGTCCATTTGTCTGTGAGTTTTCATATGTGGGTGTGGGTATCTGTGGAGTCTACAATAGATTGTCAGATCCCTTGGAGCTGGAGTTATACAGGCAGCTGTGAGGTTCCTGAAGTGGGTGCTGGGAAGTGAACTCAGTCCTCTGTAAGAGTAGTACTTGGTCTTAAACACTGAACCATTTTCCAGTCTCTGGTTCTGTTTTCAGTAATAATTAATTGCCTGGTCCATCAATCACCTCTACCTGGAGTTCATCTCTGTAGTCTAGCTTTTCTATCTTTCTATCAAAACTCCAGCTCACTTCCTTCAGAGTTTTGCAAGATGTTTGTCAAGAAGACAGCTGACAACACAAGCTTGCAGGACTGACCTTGGATCTCCCAGCACCTACGCAGAAAGCTGGGCCCGGCAGCTCGAGCTTCTAATCTCAGTACTGCAGAAACAGACAGGTGGATCCCTGAAACTTGCTAGCTCACCACACTAACCACACTGATGAGCTCCAAGTGCAGTGAGAGACCTGTCTCAAAATACAAGGCAGCAGGACTGATGAGAAGACCTGGTAGGTAAAGGCGCCACCAAGCCGTGTAACTTCAGTTTAATCCCAGGCCTCACCTGGTGGACAGACCCAATTCCTGCCGGTTGTTCTCTGACCTCCATACGTACATTGGGTACATGTACCATGGCCACCTAGCCCTCCCCAAAACAGAAACACACAAAATAAATGGAATAAAGAAAAAATAAGGTGGAAAGTGATTGAGGATGACATACAACAACACCCACAAGCATATGTGCACACATAAGCAATACATACAACACACATACACAAGCATATGTGCGCATATAAGCACATACAACACAATCACAAGCATATGTGCACACATAAGCAATACATACAACACACATACACACAGACAAGGTAGTAGTAGCTTAGTAGCTTCATCTCTCGGGATATACAATGGTTACATGGATACACGAATATTAAAAACAAGAGTAATGTGACTTTATAGTATATAGTTTAACTACACAAAACACTGACTTGGCATGCACTAGGCCTCTCTAAGGGCCCTTTTCTTCAACTACATCACTTAGAATTTTCTAAGTTCTCTCAGGAATGTGTATGTGTACTCCTAGACCCTAGGAAAAAAATTACTTTTTCCTGACCTGTTAAGACAGTAAGTACATTTACTTCAACTGCAAAACTGCAACCAACTAGAGGGTTTAGAAGCCAATCCTGAGGGTTACAAGCATTATCTAAGAATAAGGCAAACAGCAATAGACTTCAGGAGAAACCATCAGCACACGCCCCGCCAGTCCTTACTTAGGACTTCAGAGTAGAGCTGCTGAGACAGGGTGCTCACATGGGGGGAAGGCTACATGAGAGGGGAGTCCCGGGCTCATTCACGGGACAGACAGCCTAACGTGACACTATCACAATGCCCCGGGACATATGCAACTAAGCAGAGAATGTTGACAATGCTGTTTGTTGACAGAACACTCAGAATTTTCTATTGAGTTTCAGGGGGAGAACCCCCATGTTTTTAAGATAAGAGTGTCTTCAATATCATATGTGTATGTCACAATGTTATTCAAGATACTATAAATTGCTTCCAAAGAGGATGTTTTATTAGAAAAAGGAATAGAAGCCAGGCATAGTATCGAACCCCTTTAATCCCGGTGGAGAGGCAGTGAGACCCTGGAGAGAGGGAGAAGGGAGGGAGGAAGGGAAAAAGGAAGAGAGATGGGGGGAAAGAGAAACAGGAGAGTGAAAAGATACAGAAATGTGGTTAATTGTAGAAGTTTAATACTTTTTTTCCCCCCAAAACAGGGTTTCTCTGTGTAGCTCCTGGCCATGCTGGAACTCACTCTGTAGACCAGGCTGATCCAGAACTGAGAGAATCTTCTGGTTCTTTGCCCCAAGTGCTGGGATTAAAGGTGGACTACCTGGTTAATTAAGCATACTTTCAAAAGTCCTAATACAGCTGGCTGTGAGCTGGGTGGTGGCGCTCGCCTTTAGTCCCAGCACTCGGGAGGCAGAGGCAGGTGAATCTCTGAGTTCAAGGCCAGCCTGGTCTACAGAGTTAGTACCAGGGTAGACTCCAAAGCTACACAGAGAAACCCTGTCTGGGATAAAATAGCTGGATGTGATGGAACATACTTATAATAAGCACATCATTCACGATGAATTGGAAGGTCAGGAGTTCAGGGGCAGTCTTAGTTGAAACTTCACGACGATGAAAATGTCAATAACTCTTTAAATATGACCTTAAAATGTAAAGTTAATGGCATAACCTTGAAAGACAGTATTAATTGCCTTCTGATGTAGCAAAAGAAAAATGAATCTTATTAAGGGTTGAAAACCAGTCAGACATATTGTTGCATGCTTTTAATCCCAGCACTAGAGAGGCAGAGACAGAAAGATCTCTGAGTTCAAGGCCCGCCTGGTTTACATAGTGAGACCCTGTCTCAAAGAGAATAAAATAAAAACAACTTTTTTTTTTTTTGGTTTTTTGAGACAGGGTTTCTCCATATTGTTTTGGAGGCTGTCCTGGAACTTGCTCTGTAGACCAGGCTCACCTCGAACTCACAGAGATTCACCTGCCTCTGCCACCCAAGTGCTGGGATTAAAGGCGTGCACCACCACGGCCAGGCAAAACAACTTCTTTATTATTGGTGGATATGGTACGAATACTTTTTGACAAATAAACTAATAAATCAAAAACTTGTTCTTGGGGCTGGATGGTAGAGGTGGCACACGCCTTTAATTCCAGCACTCAGGAGGTAGAGGAAGGGGATCTCTATCAGTTGGAGGCCAAGTCTGGTCTATAAAGCTAGTTCCAGGACAGCCAGGACTACACAGAGAAACTCTGTCTTGAAAAACTAAAGCAAACAAAGAACTTGTTCTTGATGATGTCACAATCTAAATTATTACTGTGGAACATTTAAAATGAAAAGGTGCTGATTTTTATGCTAGATATATGTAGCAAACCAGTTTTATGTAATTATTACTGTCTGTGTAGGAAAATATATTCAATACTAGAAATTAGCATTTAAATAATTCTAGGTCAACAAGATGACTCATTAGATACAGGTACTTGCTATGCAAGCCTGGCCACCTGAAGGAGAGAACAGACTCCACAAAGTTGTCTTTTGACCTCCAGCATTGTTTTTATACACTGGGTTACAATCAATCTTTTTGTTTTGTTTTTTGAGACAGGATCCTGGAACTCACTATGTAGACCAGGTTGGCCTCAAACTCACAGAGATCTGCCTGCCTCTGCCTCCCAAGTGCTGGAATCAGTGCTTACAAGGCTTAGAATGGATTTCTTACTGTAGATTGAGGTTCAAATTATTGAAAAAGCACCCACAGTGTTGGATGAGCCTACACCCACAGAAGAGCTTGTTCAAGGACTGCCTGCCTGAAATCTCTGGGATACATTGTAGACAATGAACACAGGTACAGAGCTCACTTTGCAGGTCAATTGGAGCTGGGATAGGGAGTGATACAACAAAAAACTGTTTCAGAGACATTAATGATCCCATTGTTGGACTGGCAGAAACAGAGCCGGAGGACAGAAAGGTACTAAGTCCAAAACACAAGATCCCAATCCAAGTCGGGAGCAGTGGAAGGAATGTTATAGATAAGGAAATACTGCAGGATTTTAGAGCTAGAAGACATTCTTTCTTTCTTTCTTTCTCCTCCTCTTCTTCTTCTTCTTTTTTTTCCAGACAGGGTCTCACTATGTAGCTCTGGCTGGCTTGGAACTCACTAAATACACTAGGCTGGCCTTGAGCACATAGAGATCTGCCTGGCTCTGGAATGCCACCACCATCCTTAAGCAGTGCTAGTGGGCTCGCAGCTGGTTATGCAGATCGTGTTCAAGTCCAACAGGCTGCCTCTTCCTGCGCACCTCCAAACCCGACTTAGAACCAGGAGGGACCGTGGGGATGGACATTCCATCACCATCTGGCACATTTTTGGAAAGGAGTAGAATCCTGCGCGAACACCTGCCTATTTAAGACATGCCTATGACGTCACTCTGACTCGGCTCCTCGACGTCTGACACAGCCGGGGCAATTAACAAGCTTGGGAGTTTCCTGCAGGGACGTGGAGAGCGAAAGTTTCGAAGCCACTTTCCACCGAGCAGATTAACAGGGCCAGTAACTCTCCTTCCTTAAAAAAACGCCAAGGGCCATTCGGTTCCCACGGGCACTCCAAAGAAGCCAGACCAACGCCCCTTCCCTCTGCGGAAGCGGACCATCGGTTTGCTCCTCTGCTTTTACCCTCCTCTCCCCCCGAGAGCCACTCTCCAATAAAATAGCAACAAACCCTGCGGAGACCAACGTCCTCGCGAACTGTGCGTTCGCCAGTTTCCACGTCCCGGTCACTGAGCGCCTCACGGCCATGCGCAAAGCGGCCGGGCGGCCTGGGGGGGGGGGAGGAGGGGGGGCGGCGGCGGCCTGGGAGGGAGGGTCAGGGAGGGAGGGCGGCGGCGTGGGGTGAGGGCGGCGTGGCGCTTTCGGGAGGGCTCCACCTTTCTTCCCGGGACGCCTCCGGCAGCCGGGCACCGGGCGGGCACGGCCGGCGGCCGCGGGGAGTCCCTCACCCCGTTTCCAGGCTGCACCTGGTCCCTTCCCTCAGCGGATACTCCACCGTGCTGCCCCGCGTCGGGAGCCCGAGGGCCGACGACGGGCGGCGGGACGCGGCGCCATGTCCGGGTCGTCCCCCCACGGCACACCGCAACGCTCACCCTGAGGGTTCCGCGAGCGCGCCTCGGTTTCCGGGCGGGAGGAGGAAATCACTCCGGGAACCCCCCCAGACCCGCCCCCTCCTTCCGAGCCCAAGCCGAGCTAGTGGCGTCTCCGTCGCCACGGAGACGGGCCCGTCTGTGACGTCACTTCCGCCGGGCTGTCTGGCAGGCCGGGCTGTTGGGAGGCCCGGAGGAAAACTGAGCAACAGCCACGACGGTGGACGCGAGCGTCTCCCCGTGTGCGCATGCGCCCGCTCGGCGGCCTGCTTCTATTTATGTGGGGGACCCAACATGGCGGATGCGGCGACCCTGGCGATGGCGGTGGAGCCCGTCGGGACGTCGTAGCGGGGACGGGGACCCGGCCCGCACTCACGGTGGCGTCCGCGGGGACGGCTGAAGGTGCCGGAGGGCGGAAAAGCGACGGAGAGCGGAAGGAAAGGCGGGCGGGCGCGCCGTGCGGCGTCGAGGCGAGAGCCGGCTCGAGCGAGCGCCGAGGGCCAGAACAGTGGGGATGGCGGAGCCGCGCCGAGTCGCGTTCATTAGCCTGTCACCGGTGAGGCGGCGCGAGGCCGACCCGGCGGGCGCCGAGCGCGAGCCCCCCCGGCCGGAGCCGCAGCCGTACCGCGAGCCGGCCCGGGCGGAGTCGGCCCCCCGGGCTGACGCGCAGCACCCGGCGCGCGACAAGCCGCTCCCCCAGCGCGAGGGCGGCCGCGCCGAGCCGCCCATGGCGCTGCTGCAGCGCGAGCCCCCGCGGCCCGAGCCGCCGCCGCCGCTGCCTCCGCCGCCGCCGCTGCCCCTGCAGACGTCGACTGCCCCGCCGCGGGACGCGGCTTCCCGGGCGGAGCCGCCGCAGCCGCCGCGACCGCCGAAGGAGACGGTTCGCCTGGAGCTGGTGCTCAAGGACCCCACGGACGAGAGCTGCGTGGAGTTCAGCTACCCGGAGCTGCTGCTGTGCGGAGAACAACGGGTACACAGGGTCCCTCCCTCCCTCCTTCCCCTCCCGGCCGCCCCGCAGCCCGGGTGCCTCCGGACCGGGCGGCCCGCCTGCCCCGGCCGCTCTGCACTGGGCTCGCCCCGGGGGTGGCGCGGCGTGGCGGGGCGGTGGGGCGGCTAGACGGGGCGGGAGCTGGCGCGGCTCGGCCCACCTAGGTGGCCGAGGCTGCCGCCCCCCCTTCCACACACCTCGCCGTGCCCGGTTCTCCTCCGCACCTTTCGAAACCTCTGCAGCTTTTTTCTCCTTTTTCCTTTCTGTTCCCCACACCTAAACCCCGAGGCCCCGCGAGCCGTGCGGCTTAGCTTCTTGCGGCACTCCGTCCGTCCGTCGTTCCGGTGGAAGGGAAGCGAAAACCCTTGGGGGACACGCCCCCCGGGTCGGTCAGATGGGGAGAGATTGTGTGACCCCCCCCCCCTTCTCGGTTCATCCTCATCCTTCCTCAAACCCAGCTGTACCGGGCGCCAGGGCTGCTGAGATGGGTTCGTGGCTGGGTGGTGTATTTCCCTTGATTGAAGGGGAATTTAAGAGGATTTAAACGTTTTCAGAAACTAAAGGTTCCACGTTAGAAATGAAAAAGTGGGTTCGTTAATGTGGTTACGCTCGTGTTGGTAAATATTGTTAGCTTTGTGTGTGTGTTGAGTTTGTGCATATTGTCTCTGAATGGAAAGGTCTCCTGTCTTATTCGGTGGCTGTCTGATCACATTGAGTGGCTATCATTAGTTCGAATTGGGGTTATTTGTCCGGTGTAGTGTTTTGGAGCATGATGGAATGATGGGGAAGATGTTGGCTTTGAATTTAAAAAGAAAAAAAAACTTAGGAAAATACTTAGGTATACCGTTGAGGGAAGCGGTGAACAATGGGGATTAGGACAGCGGTTTGTCGGTGACTGTAATTTTTATTGTTGTGGGTTGTGATCTTTAGGGGGACGTGGGAGAGAGGCAGGCAGACAGACAGACATTGTCCTCTAGTTTAGCGACCGTGCTCTTTATTAGGCTGGGCTTTCTAGCAGGTCTAATGAACTCCAGAATTCATTAGTTCCTTTCATCAACTATCTTTGTTGTTGCAATGAAGGATTCTTAGTCAAAAGTCTCACGTTGAATAATATCATTAGCCTGTGTTCATTTTGTGCCAGATAATCCTTTGATGGCTAGTTACAAGTATTGTGCAGCCATCATTACTAAACGTTCTCAGAGAAATTGAATTACTATGGGTAGAGATCATTTTGGCCACTTTCACATAACATTTTGTTCTGTAGACTGCATTCAGAACTCTCTTTTCTTTAATAAACGTCATTTTTTGTCTATTAAATTGAAGCATTTTTCAAAGAAATTATACTTGACCTAATAGAAGTAGGTGTTCAATTTTTATGATTTGTGTAAGTCACAGATTCAAAACATTTTGTAGATGGGCTTGCTAGTCTGTGACCTCAGTGCTCTGGAGGCTGGAGTTCATAGTGAGATCCTGCCTCAAAAAAACAAAACCGGGTGACAAATGGCTCAGCAGGTAAGGGTACTTGCTGCCAATCTTGAAGACCTGAGTTCCATCCCCAGGACCCACACAGTGGAAGGAGAGAACCATCTTCTGCAAGGTATACACATACACACAAATAAGTATAGCAAAACTGCAAGACAAAAACCATCTTTAGATAAAAATACGTAATACTAGTTAGTGTTTTACCATGGTGCAAACACCATAGAAAGAACCTGGGCAAACCTAGATGGGTTTTTGTTTGTTTTGTTTTGTTTTCTTTAAGTTTTGCTTTTTGGAGACAGGGTTTCTCTGTGTAGTGGTTCTGTCCTGAAATTCACTCTGTAAACCAGGCTGGCCTTGAACTTAGATCCCTCTGACTTTACCTTCCCACTACTGGGATCAAAGGTGTTGGTACCACACCCAGATAACCTAGGTGTCTGTCCCCGCCCCCATAGTTAGCTATATGGTATTTAACTATTAAACTTGCTGTGTATTTATATTCTGTAGTATTTATCATTGTGTGTGATACATACTATTGTTTAATACATAGTATCAATTTAGGAATTTATTGACCCAAATTTCTTATTATATATTCAAGCATATATCTTCTGTAATTCCACAAAAGAATTTATTCTGGTGTCTTTGTTTTGTTGCTTTTTCTTTTTTTAATTGCTGTTTTTTGAGGTAGGGTTTCTCTGTATAGCCCTGGCTGCTTTGAAACATGCTCTGTAGAGCAAGTTGTAGTCTGTGGGTTTTTTTTGCTTGTTTTTGTTTTTGTTTTAAATGCATTATACTTTTTAAGCAAGTTTGCTGAATTTTCCTATGATTGGTCCTGCTTAATATATTTATTACCTAACAATGTATAAATAACACCTTTGTAAGTGAATTCTGATAGCTTCATAAATGAAATCCTAGAAGAGTGATCAACTGAAAAGCAAAACTGAATATTGGAATGTTTGGAAAGTGGTAAATCCCAAATTTTCTCCTCTAGAAAGTCTTTTATTTTTATTTTTCTAATGCTGAGAATCAAGCCAAGGGTCTTGAACATGCTAGGCTAGTGATACTCAATATCGCATGACTCCAAGACACTTCATGTTTTGTTTTTGAGAGAATATAATTTTAAGTTGCTTAAGCTGGCCTTCAACTTACTGTGTAGCCTATATTGGCCTTGAATTCATGATCTTGCTGTTTTAACCTCCTGAGTAGCTGGAGTTATAGGCCTGTACCACGAAGCCTGGCTCAGATTATTTTTAGAGTTATAGTCTTTTCAAAATAATTTTAAATTTGAGTTACTGGACTTGAATAGTGTACCTGTAATAGGCTAAGTAGAATTAGAAGAAAAAGTCTCAATTTTTAAAATAGCTGTATGTAAGGGACAAGATTTGCTTAAATGAAAGTGGGTAGCTGTGGGGTGTTAAAGACATTGTGTGTACATACCATTTGCACTCAGGTACATTTATATAAGCCCCTTCCTACCTGCTAATTGAAGAGAGAAATCCCAATTAATGGAAATACAGCTGGGTTTTTTCTGCATTTATGAGGAAAAGCAAAACCACCTTGCAGACTAGGTCAGCCCTTTTCCCTGCCCTCTCGGTGTAGTATCATGACATAATTATGGCGGCTCAGTTGGTGACTGAGGCATTGGAATCATCCCTATCCTGAAAGATTACTTTCTTCACCATTGCTGGCCAGAGTGCATTGTGAAGTAAGTTCTGGACGTGACAAATACATAAGAAAAAAGTTGAGTTCTTAGCAAACCCAGAATCAGATAACCTGAACAGCCTTTTGAGAACATAATGAGTTACATGCTTCCGGTAAAGAGAAAAACAAGTGATGATGGTGGTGATGTAACTGTACTTGTAGAGTTCTGTGGTATTCCATTGCTTGTCACTTGCCTGTGTTGGATAAGGCCCATGGAAGATTTGAGCATGCGCTCAAAGGAGAAAATCATTGCATTGACTTTACACATAGGTAGCTGATAATTTGCACTGGGGGAAATTTTTCTTGAGTTTTTATTGGAAAGTATGATACTTTGTGGGTGTTTGCTACTTTGAGGTAAGGGCTCACTGTGTAGCCCAGGTTAGCCTCAAACTTCTGTCAGACTTCCTGCCTCAGCTTCCTGAGTGCTGGGATTGCAGGCATTATTTTTAACTGTAAAGGAGAAGTGAGTTTGTTTTAATTTTGTATACCACACGTAAACGAGATTGATTTCAATGCCTGAATGAAGTATACAATTTTGGAATAGTGATACTCAGGATACTGAGGTAGGATTGTGAGTTTGAAGCCAACCTAGACTGTGTAGTGAAAACTCATCTTGAAAAAAAAGTTAGAATAATATTTAAAGGTGAGATGGAGATGACTCAGTGGTTAAGAGCATCAGCTGCTCTTCCAAAGGAGCCAGCTTCAATTTCCAGCACTCAAATGGTAGCTCAGAACTGTCTGTAACTCCAGTTCCAGGGGATCTGGCATCCTCACATATAACCCGCAAGTAAGACCTCAATGTACATTAAACAAACAAACAAATGTTTCTTAAATAGGTGATTCTTAGTAAAATTACAAATCTTTGTCTTTATATTTGCATATATAAAATGAGTCAGACCAGGTTGGGGAGAATGCTCAGTGGTAGAGCTCTTGCTTAGCATGTGAAAGGCTCTGGGCTCAATAAAAATGTCACAGAAACCCTGATCAGACATACTAAGGACCTACTAGTCTTTGGACTACGCAGTGATGGGAGGGTCAGTTTCTCACAAAGATGCTGATCGCTTTCAGTCTGAGGGAACTGCTGTGCCCTGGTGTGGCATTTACTCCTTAACAGTCTCACTTTGCTAGTTTGTTTCGTTTTATTCATAATGGCAATTAGGATAAGAGAGGCCATAGTATTATTACATTTAAAAATTTGAATCTAGCCGGGCAGTGGTGGCGCACACCTTTATTCCCAGCACTCGGGAGGCAGAGGCAGGCGGATCTCTGTGAGTTCGAGGCCGGGCTGACCCGATAGCCTCCAAAACAATACAGAGAAACCCTGTCTCATAAAAACCAAAAAAAATTTTTTTTTGAATCTAAAATCAACTCCTTACCTCTAAAGATCCCCCTTTATTTTAATGTGCTGGGAAGGATGACCTTTTGTCTTCATCTTGTCCATGTTTCTCTGTCATGTTTTAGACTAATGATATGTCAGTCTTTACGTCTAGGAGGAAGCACCATAGTACCAAATTCAGGTCTTTGTCTTGCTTGTAATGCATTTTTAATTATTTGGAGCTGCTAGATCAGCTTAAAAATTTTTTTTTGTTGTTTTGTTTTTTTTCAAGACAGGGTTTCTCTGTGGCTTTGGAGGCTGTCCTGGAACTAGCTCTTGTAGACCAGGCTGGTCACCACCTGGCATCAGCTTTAAAAATTAAACATCACACCTTTAATCCTAGGAGGCAGAGGCAGTCAAATTTCTGGGAGCTCAAGGCCAGCCTTGTCTACAAAGTGAGTTCGAGGACAGCCAGGCTGCTACACAAAGAAATTCTGTCTGGAAAAAGCAAAAACAAGAAAATAACAAAAGAAACCTTTAAAAATTTACTTTCAGATGGGTGTGATTGGGCACGTTTTAATCCCAGCACAGGGAGGGAGAATCAGAAGGATTCTGATCAGTTTGAGGCCAGTCTGCCCGGTCATGACCAGGGAGTTCCAGGTCATCCAGTGCTACATAGTAAGACCCTGTCTCCTAAAAACAAAACAAGCAAACAACAAAACCAAAGTAAATTTTCTAAAATTTGATTAAAAAATGTTTTTAAAAAGTAGCTCTGCCAGGTGTTGGCAGCGCATGCCTTTAGTCCTAGCACTCAGGAGGTAAAGGCAGGCTGATTGATCTCTGTGAGTTTGAGGCCAGCCTGGTCTAAAGAATGAGTTCCAGGATGGGTTCCAAAGGAATACAGAGAAACCCTGTCTTCAAAAACAAAAAGTAGCTCCTAGCTTTTTTGTTAATTGAAAATCATACATATGAAACATATCTGCTAAAATAGTATGCTCAGGTAAAGCCTGGCAACCTGAGTTGAATCCCCAGAACCCACAGAAAGGTGCAAGGAGAGAGCCAACTTGACCAAGTCGCCCTGTGACCTCCACATGGCTGCACTTGCCCCACCCCCATCGCTGACCTCCACATGTCTGCACCTGCCGCCACCCCCATCTCGCAGCACATAATAGTAACACAGTAACAGAAATGGTTTCTGAGAAGTAGTAAAATCAGGAAAGGATACAGTTTTATCTGTTTTGGCCCTGGATGGTGAATGCAAGATCCTTGCTCATTGTGTGTGTGTGTGTGTGTGTGTGTGTGTGTGTGTGTGTGTGTGTGTGTGTGTGTGTGTGTGTTTTAAACTGTATTTTAATCATTCTATACTGTTAGAAGGAAGCCATGGTGAGCTATTATACACACACACACACACACATAGCTATGTTAGAGGACAGGAGACAGGTACAGATACTCAAATAAAAACTTGTAAGCATATTATGAATCTTGATTCTATAATGAATAATTTGGATACCTTCTAATGGATATTTCATGGCTGAATCAGCCCTTTTTAGGGATAATATCAAAATAAAATTAATATTTTCATTTTTACCTATGTAGGTCTAAGGGAGAGATTGCTTTGTTTGGGACGGGGTGGTCATTGGGATGGTGGTTACAAGTGAGTCAGTTTTGATGTTGAATTCTTGACCATCAAAGAACTGTACGATTTGTTTAGGTCTGTTAATTACAGATACTTTCCTTCTGTGGCCATCACTTTTTAAAAATAGCTTTGATGTTTTTGACCTGCTTGTTTATGATAGGAATTTAAAGACAGAGTCAAATCTGGAAAATAATGCACTGGCTGTAGCTATGGAATATATAGTTTTGATGGGCTATTGAGTTAAACTGAACTGTAGTTGGTCTATGATTAGTATATGGCAGTCTAGTTGGAGTAGTTCTAATACTTGTGTTTCTTTCCACATTTCCTATGAATCAGAAGAAACTTGTTCATACAGAAGACCCTTTTACTGATGAGCAGAAGGAGAGACAAGAAGTGGAAATGTTGGCTAAGAAGTTTGAAATGAAATATGTGAGTATGATAGTGTTCACCGAGGTAATTTTACCCTGTTGGCCTGTTTTCTTTGTGTGGCTAGTTGGGAGGGCCTATAAATAGCAACTGCTTACTTATCTTGATTTCACAAATTGAAGCTGAATGAATGGTTTTGACAGCCAGACAGTTTTACAGGTTTGTCCTGACTGTGTTAGCAGGCTGCATTCATTATAGTCCTAGAACCTAGGCAGTTTGCCTGACAAATCTTACAATAAAAACGATTAGGTGAGTAATATTTGCCCCATCTCACAGATGAGCATGGTCAGCAGGCAGCAAGCAACCCAGCTGTGTATAGCTCTAACCCTGCTCCCCACCTCCACAATGGGGAACTGTTCTCTTGGTTCCTCATCCTTCATCCTTTTTAAGAGAGTGAGGGGGTCCATCAGGATAGGTGAAACTTTGTGTTGTATTTGCCTTAAATATTCATGGATATCCTATATTCCTTGCAAGAACATTAGTTCTTATTTTAATAGGATGTAAATAATACATTATAAAAATGTCATTTTCATATAGCATTTTCCTCCAATTTTTAGTATAAGTGACCATAGAAAGCTCTTATTACTATGCCCTGTTTATCCTATGACTTTAACTACTCACTTTAACGCCCAAGTGAGTTGAGAGTGAGATGTCTCTTCTGGTTCCTCTCCGAGCATTAGAAATGCTTCAAGAGATAGGATGTCAGTGCTCACCGGCATTGCCATTCGTGTTACCCTGAAAGTGCAATTCCAATTGGACTTGATACTTGTTGGCTTCTGCATGAGAGAAATAACAGGATACAGTAGAATTTGAGTCAAGTTTTATTTAGACTACTCTTTGCCACCAACAAATTATGCCCTTTGAGTGAAGTTACTTTGTTCCTTTTTAATTATTTGTGGGTTTTTTGTTGTTGTTGTTTGTTTTTGTTTTACGAGACAGGGTTTCTTTGTATTGTTTTGGAGGCTGTTGGTCCAGCCCGGACTCAACTCACAGAGATCCGCCTGCCTCTGCCTCCCGAGTGCTGGGATTAAAGGCATGCACCACCACCGCCCGGCTATTTGTTTATTTTTATTTTATGTGCATTGATGTCTTGCCTCCCTGTGTGAGGGTGTCAGATCTTGGAGTTACAGACAGTTGTTAGTTGCCATGTGAGTGCTAGGATTTGAACCCTGGTCCTCTGGAAGAGCAGTCAGTGCTCTTGGGAGCCATCTCTCCAGCCCCATTATTTTTCACTCTAAGCCCAGCTTTCATATCTGTAAATTGAGGTTGGTTTTTTTTTTTTTAAGAGTCCTTTGGGTATTTTTGTTCTGTGTCTCCTCACTAAAGCATTTGAAATGGTCGGTGTTATAAAAGAAAAGACGGACTCATTTGTAGTGAGGCTTTTTTGTTTTAAGACAGTCTCACTCTGGAGCCCAGGGTGGCCTGAAGTTCATCATCTTCCTGTCTCTGTCTCCTGCCTAAGGTTTCAGATGTTGAAGACTCTGGGTGTGTTTCAAGGTGGTTTCATGGTGTACATCATGCAGGGTGAACAAGGTTCATCTTAATGGATTTGACTTGCTCTCTTAGTTTATAGAACACAGCATAACTTGTGATGTTCATAAGATTATTCTTGGTGATTTTCTTACCTTTTTTACCCCACATGCCTTGAAAACTCCTATTTCTTTTTTATTTTGGTTTTTTGAGACAGGGATTCTCTGTGTAACAGCTCTAGCTGTCCTAGAACTAGCTCTGTAGACCAGGCTGGCCTTGAACTCACAGAGATCCGATTGTCTCTGTCTCCCAAGTGCTGGGATTAAAGGTGTGGACCACCACCACTCAGTGAAAACTCCTGTTTCTAGAATTGGGTGTAAAATCAGTAATGTCTGTGAAGGCGTCCAGCACAGTGGCTAGTGCCTCACATGGGGCTCAGTTAAAGTTAACTTTGATTCTGAGCAACTGCTTGCCAAGCATTTAATACTGCTGATGAATTACAACTTTAAACGAAAAAAAATCTGCTTCTTCTACCTTAGAGCTTTCATATATCAGTGTTCATGCTTAAATCAGTCCTAATAGTTTCAGATTTTTTTTTAAAGGGACAGTGATACATTTGGTGATCCAGAAGTAATTCTGAGGAGCCACATAAACAAAGTAGTTAAAGTGATCATAGTCTGGAACATGCCTGTAATCCCAGTTCTTTGAGGGCAGAGGCAGGAGGATCACTACAAGTTCTAGGCTAGACAAATTTGATTTCCATCCTGACTTAATATAAGGCTACAACCTGCTAAAACCCTATCTCTCTGCATCTCTCTTTGAGTGTATGTGTGTTTCTAAAAACACTGGGGTTTATTTTGCCATTGATTGTAAAACAAATATACATATATTAAACTGACATATATTTGCCAAGATGGCTCATCAGGTAAGGACACTTTCTAACAAGCTTGCTGGACCTGAGTTTGATTCCTGAAACTCATATGATAGGAAGCTGACTTTGGCAAGTTGTCCTGTGACCCCCCCCCCACATTTGTATCATGTGTACATGCCCCTTCTCCCAAAATAGGTAAATACATGTAAAATGTTCTCCATCTATCCACTAACCTATTTATTTATTTATTGGGGGCGGGGAATCTTACTATATAGCCTTAGCTGCTGGAACTCACAGACCAGCTTTCCTCTGCCTCGCAAGTGCTAGAATTAAAGTTGTATGCCACCATGCTCAGCAAAAATAAGTAAATAGATTGATAGATAATTTAAGTGATTATATACATCTTTTGACTTCACAACCAATTGTGAAGTACTTCTAACAGTCTCCTCAGATATGGTACTGGGAAGTGGTTATTATAAGAGCCTGTAATCATTTTAAGAAGTCTATCACTCATTGGTGATCTCTAAGTTCTCAGAAGCTAGAGCACTTGGGGAGCCTCCCTAGGTCTAGTTTTCCTGTTTTGTCCTTACATTGGGTATGATTCCTAAGACTCGGCTTGCAAAATTTTGGACAGAGTTTGGGCAAGCTTGTTAAGATCACTGCAAAATGAATTCTACTCATAAGACCTAGATAGCAGTGAATTTAGTGTTCTGTATAGACTAACATTGGTCTGCAACCAGACCAGATGTGGTAGTTCTCTGAGTTCGAATGCATCTATATAGCCTTGCTCCAGAACATCCAGAACTACATAGAGAGTCTTTAAAAACAAAACTAAAATAAAAAATTGTAGTGTGGAATCAACCCACTATAGTTGTAGATTCTGCCTCTGTGGATTCAACTGAAGATCAGATATATTAAACAAACAACAAAAAACAAAAAGTGCACCTGTATTTTACATGTGAAGACTTTTTTCTTAGTTTTATTACTTAAACAATCTAGGTTCATAGCTATATAACATTCACATTGTGTTAGATGTTATAAATATCTAGAGCTAAAGAACACAGGATACAAGTGGGGTATACATATATATCAACAAGAGGTCATTTTATATAGGATAGTTGAACATTTGGAGATTTGGAACCAATCCAGGATATAAAGGGTTGAGTGTATATTAAAACATGAAATAATCGGCCGGTAGTGGCTCAAACCTTTAATCCCAGCACTCGGGAGGCAGAGGCAGGTGGATCTCTGTGAGTTCAAGATCAACCTAGTCTACAAGAGCTAGTTCCAGGACAGCCTCCAAAGCCACAGAGAAACCCAGTCTCAAAAAAAAAACAAAAAACAAAAAAACCCAACTTTTAGGAAGAGGGACATCTGTTTTGTTTTGTTTTGTTTTGTTTTTCTGTGTACTCTTGACTGTCCTGTCACTTGTTCCGCAGACCAGGCTGTTTTCAAACTCAGAGGTCTGCCTGCCTCTGCCTCCCAAGTGCTATGATTAAAAGGTGTGCAGAGAAAATAAATCATGTTCAAACACAAGTTTTTTTTGGTCTAATTCTGATCACTTGATTTGTTGAACCATTTTTATTGTGTGGCCTCTTTGAGCTAAATAGAATTTCAACATCTTTAAATCTCTGCAGACCTATTGTGAAACAGCAGATTTAGGACATGTGGAAGATTTTACACCCATAAGTGATGATTATCAAAGTGTATGTTAGTGTGTCTGTACTGTTGACTGTTTCTGCTGATTTATTTGAAACTATGTTCCTTTATTGGAAGGTTAAAATCTGCATGGATTAAAAAATGCAATTGTAGAACATGTTGAAGCTTTGTAACCAGGGTGCTTTCTCTGGTTGTAGGTTGAAATCCTATCAATTAATGTCCTGCTGTTCTGTCTGCCATAAGTGATCAGTGAATGTTAGTGCCATTTTATTGTCACAGAGGCAGTGGGGGTCCTGTGCAGCTAGGAATGTCTTGTTTGTTTTTCAGTTTACTGATGTTGTAATCCCTCAGCATTGGCCTGAGATACTGATTATCAGGTTAAGCCAGTACTAGTGACTCAGTAGGTAATAGTCTGAGTCACTGTGGGGTGCTTGGAAAAAGAACTTTAAAGAGGGTTCTTCATTTGAGATGTAACAAAATGGAAGGTTTTGTTTTGTTTTGTTTTTGAGACAGGTTTCTCTATGTAACAGCCCCAACTGTCCTGGAACTAGATTAGACCAGGCTGCCTGGAACCTACCTCTGCCTCCCAAGTGCTGGGATTCAAGTCAAAGTGTGCACTTGCACCCGGCTCAAAAGGGAAGATTTTAAAATTTATTTCCGTAAATAAATTTTGATTTTTATACTTGATGTGTAAACTGTACAGTATAAAAAGGGTCTAGAAAATTATGGATTAAGACTGATTGGTTTCAGGGAACAGCCTTTGGGAAGATACTGAAAAAGAGTGATTCAGAATGGGTGTGTGCAGAAGGGAGGACGCACTGCCAGTTTGTCTGAGTTCCTTTAGGTGAGACTTTAGGGTTTCAGACTCACAGTGTATATGCTGCTCTTGGGCATCGGTTGACTGTTGTTCAAGGCAGACGTGATGGCGCATGCCTGTAATGTTAGTATTTGGATGCTGAGGTAGGGAGGACAGCCGAGGCTGCACAGCAAGTTTCAGCTACGGGGCTGGAGTTGCAGATGTGTAACTGCCTTGTGGGTGCTGAAGTCACTCCCCCAGGTCCTCTGAAAGAGCAGCAAGTGCTCCCAACCGCTGAGCCGTCTCTCCAGCCACGCTTTTAAATTAAAAATGTATTTAATGTGCTGTGTGTTTGTGTCCACACATCACATGTGTGGCTGTCAGAGGACAACTGTCTTTTTCTCCTTCTACTCTGTAGGTCTTGGGAATCAAGCTTAATTGTCTGGCTTGGCAGCAAGTGTCTTTACCACTGAGCCATCATTGTTGGTCTTCAGATGTTCAGTAAATACTCTTAATGTCCTTTCTGTGAATACCCTTAGTTGTAAATAAGTTTTAACAAATTGCTTTTCTTACTTCCTATATTTATAGTCTTTTGCCACATTGTTTTTTTTTAATGGCTGTTAGCATTGGATGGTTATGCCATAGTTGATATGATTTATAGTTAACATCATTTGAGCTATTATTGACAGGACTTTAGTGAGATTACAGATTAATATTAGTCAAAGCTTAAATTATTTTTGAATAATCTCTTTAAGATTCACACTTAAAATTAAAAGGATTCACACCTATTTATTAGCACTTCTATTCTGCTCTATTGAGCACTTATGATTAACAACAGTCATTTTTAGTGGCAACAAGCTGGTAACCTTGACTAGACACACATGCTCCTAAGTCCAGTTACCAATAAGCTGTTTGCTGTTCTGTGTTTGCTTATCACAACAGACTGGATTTGCTGTTTTGCTTTTAGATGTCTCCAGGCAAATTATAGTCACTTCGTTGTACCTTGCTCCCCTGCCTGAAAGTATTTGATGGAAATAGTGGTTGTGATTTTAATTAGCATCCTAGAGAAACGGTGAGGCAGCAGGATTCACTGAGGAGTGAGAGTCCGTAGGAAGTGAGTGTGAGCCATGTGCTTAGGGAAGGGTTTAGTGGATCAGAAGCCCGTGTCAGAACATTGCGGAAGAAAGGTGGCTAGGCAGTCAGGTAACATGCAGAAAGCTTTGAGTGTGAATAGTAAGGCTTTCAGGTGTCTGTAATAAGGATGTTTCTGAGGCAGGAGACTATAGGAAGTGGTATTTTTGAAATAGTCATTAGATGTAGTAAGGGTAAAATTGAGGGAAATGAGGCAAGCCAAGGAATTGAATAGATTTAGGTAAAAACAATGACCAGCTTTCTAGACCCAAGTGTTAGAATGGAAGGAAGTGAAGGTGTGACTAACCCTATAAACAAAGGTTCTTGGGAGAGAGACTTGAAGTAGAGATGTTAATTCTTAGTTTGACCCCAGCTCTGATTAAACAAACAAACAAAAAAACTAAAAAATTAGAAAGGGGAGTTAGAGAAGGAAGGTAGATAAAGAAGAAAGAAAAAAAATGACAGACTATAAGGTCAGAATTATTGAGGTAACATTTAACTATTACTTAACATTTTTACTTGTACAACTTGGTGACTTTTACTAAATGCATGCAATCTGTGTCACCACGGTCGTGTAGGCCAGTTTTATCTTCCCACAGTTTTGTTTTTGTTTTGTGTATCATTGCAGACAGTCCTCTACCTCTCTGGCCCCTCTAGTCTGATTTTGTTCTGGAGGTTTTTGGTTTTCTGACATTTCCTGTAAGTGGGCCTTGCCTGTGTGTGGCTTCTTTGAGAGTCATCTGTGTGTTTCGTGTGTCGGTGGGTCTTCCAGTGTTTTATTCATTCAGCAAATGAGGGCTATGGTGATGTCTTCAGGGTTGGGGTTTTTTCTATAGAAGATCTTTTTTGGTTTTCTGCACATGTGGAGGTCAGAGGATAAGCTGACCAAATGCAAGTCACTAGACTTGGCTGCAGCCTGACTCACTGGCCCCAGTTTTCAGTTTTCAACCATTACCCATAAACCTGCTCTTAAAAAAATCGAACAGCATACATTTTATATTGACATATAGTTTCAATCTGGGCATGTTGACTTATCCCTTATAACCTCATCACTTGGGAAGCTGAGGCAGGAGAATTGTCACAGTTGTTCAGGTCACCCTTGGGCTATGTATTAATAATTTACCTTTCTGGGGGTTTTGTTTTGTTTGATTTATTTTGTTTTCCAAGACATGGTTTCTCTGTGTAGCCTTGGCTGCCCTGGAGTTCCCTCTGTAAACCAGACTGGCTTCGAACTCAGAAATCTGCTTGCCTCTGCTTCCTGAGTGTTGGGATTAAATGTGTGTGTCACTACTCCTTGGTGTGACAACTCATCTTAAAAGATGTGTGGGCAATGAAATGACTAGCAGATACAGGCATGTGCTGCCAAACGAATGACCTGAGTTTGATCCCTGGAGCCCACATAGTGGAAAGTGTAGCCTTTTTCTCCCCAAGTGCCGTTTTCGTTGCCTTTAGTTTTCATTAAAGACACATTGCATTAAATGTATAAATCTTTATAAACACTTAGCTTACATTGAAATCCACCCTGTGAGAACTGGAACCAAGTGACGGTAGAGATTCACATCTCCCTTTCTGCAGAGCCCATCGTGGCTCCATTCCTTGCTTTCCTTTCACCTAAACAGGATGGGGAGATGGTGCAGGGATGCTTAAAAATCATAGATGGATTCAGATCTGTAAATGTAAATATGGCTTACAAAATGAGGCTTAAAACAGAACTCACATACTTGTGTTCATGGTACCAGAGGAAGGCTGCTTCCTGTTTAAACTATTTATCCCAAGCTTATATGGAACTTTGAGAGTTCAAGAAACATTTTGTATCTGAGATATAATGCGTTCTATGCTGTGATCAGCCAGGGTCAAAGTAAAGCAATTGAATAATGCCATCTGCAAGAACTGGTTTGTGTTGGTTTAGGAACATTTCATTTAAAAATAATTATAGATTCACAAGTATGAAATACAGTATAGGAGACTCTTGATACTCATCACTCAGCTAGATACTCCCAGTGGTTATACCTCACATAACTGCAGTCATCAGAACTGGAGAATGGAAGCCAGACGGTGGTGGCACACCCCTTTATTCCCAGCATTCGGGAGGCAGAAGCAGGTGGATCTCTGTGAGTTCAAGACCAATCTGGTCTCATAAAACTAAAAAACAAACAAAAAATGGAGAATGGACCTTGGCACAGTACACTTGAGAATAGGCTAGACAACAGATCTTGATCTGAGTTTACCAGCTCCCATGTGTGCTTGGTTTTCATATTCCTGTATGTGTATGTGTGTAATTATATAACATTTAGGTATAACTTTTAAGAATAGTTTTTGGGAACTGGCGAGTTGGTTCAGCGGCTAAGAGCGTGTAGTGCTCTTGCAGAGGACCTGAATTTGGTTCCCAGCATCCACATCAGGTAGCTCACAACTCTGTAATATCAGTTCAGAGGATCTGATGCCCTCTTTGAGGGCACATATACATGCATGTATACATGCAAACGTGTGTGTATGTGTATGCACACTCTCTGTCTCTCTGTCTCTCTCACACACAGAGGCATATAACACATACTTAAAAAGTAGAAGAAAAGAGGACTGGAGAGGCTCAGTTGTTAATTAAGATCCCTTGTTGATCTTACCGAGGATGCAGATTTAGTTCTCAGAACCCATAATTAACTCCAGTTTCAGGAAATCCAGTGTTCTCTTCTGACTTCTGAGGGAAACCAGGCATGCACATGTGTACATACATACATGTAGACAAACACGTGTTTTTAAAGAGTAACTTTCATTTAGTGTTGATGTGCACATGCAGGAGGCAAATGTGGAGTCAGGAGAACTCTGAGAGTGAGTTCTCTCCCTAGGCTTATCTAGGTGGATTTTTCTCTTTATTTTGGAGACAGGGTAGCTCTTGCTGTTCTAAAACTCACTTTATAGACCGGACTGCCTTGAATTCACAGAGATCCACCTGTCTCTGCCTCCCAGTACTGGGGTTAAAGATTTGTGCCGCCAGTGCCTGACTGGGTTTCAGGTTTTTAAAGGAAGATTCCAGAGTTGAAAGGTATTTTTTGCTATGTCAAGGATAGATGCCATCGATTTGATTTACCATTGTTAGTGCTGACTGTGTGGTTCAGGAAGTGTTGGCATATTTTCCACTTTATAACTCCTTTGGCTGTTCTACTCTGAGGAAGCAGTTACTAAGTGCAGTTTACATGCAAGGTGTGGGGAGACCCAGTTGCCTACAGAGGGTTTCTCTACAAAAAAATATGTGAATTCTTTTGTAAATTTATGCAAACAGTACAGGTATTGAATAAGTCTAATGTGTCTCTCCTTTGCAGGGTGGGAAAGCCCGTAAACACCGGAAGGATCGGCTACAAGATTTAATTGATATAGGCTTTGGCTATGATGAGACAGATCCATTTATTGATAACTCAGAGGCTGTGAGTAATATATCTTTAATATGGCAGTAAAGTCAAGGCAAAGTAACTTAAAATATTTCAACAGAGGTTTTTATTTGTGCTTTTAAAAACTGTTTCATAGCTTTTTAAAAGATTTTTAAAAAAATACTACAGATGTACTGTTTTGTAATGTTGACTTGTTCATGGTAAGTTGTTACTATATTATAGTCATAGGCCATGTTTTGGCAAACTATAAAGGGCCATGTGGTAAATATTTTAGACTGTGGGCCGGCCATATGGTGTCTGTTACAACTCTCCTACTGTAGCATAAACGCATCATAGAGAATATGTAAGTGCATTAGTGTAGCAGTATTAAGAGTAAAACTTTACTGATAGACTGTGAAATTTAAACTCATGTAATTTTCATGCATCATAAAATACTTAATCTGATGTTTTCCCACCACTTAAAAAATAAAAATTTGGGGCTGGAGAGATGACTCAGCAGTTGAGAGCGCCCTGTCTGTTCTTCCAGAGGTCCTGAGTTTAATTTAATTCCCAGCAACCACATAGTGGCTCATGTATAATGAGATTGTGTACCCTCTTCTGGCCTACAGGGAAACATACAGACAGAATACTGTATACATAATAAACAAATAAATCTTTTTTGAAAAAGCAATATTCATTTCTGACAGGTAGGGTAACAAACTGTTAGGCTGAACCTGGCCAGCAAGTCTTGGTTTGCCAATAAGGTAGTAGACCATTACATGTAGTTTGCTGTGGTTTCAGGTCCTGCAAGAATCTTTTGAGACTAATAGTTGTTCACTTTCAGGTGCATAGTTAGCATGAATTCCTGGAGAAATCATTAATCCTTGCCCAAACTGAGAAGATAATTTTAATTTATTTATTTTGGTTTTTCTAGTCTGGATTTCTCTGTGTAGCCCTGGCTGTCCTGTAACTCACAGAGATCCACTTGGCTCTGTCTCCTGAGTGCTGAGATTAAAGGCGTACACCACCACCATCCAGCGATAAGTAAAGTTATAAAAAAGGAAAAAGACATTGAGTTGTACATCTGCAATCCCAGAATTGATAGAGGGATGGAAATCAGAAGCTCAAGAGTGTAGTAAATTGAGGGTAGTCTTGGACCTGTTTAATACATGAGACCCTGTTTATGAATGTCAGCACACAGCAGGAGGTGGTGGTGCACACCTTTAATCCCAGCACTCAGGAAGCAGAGGCAGGCGGATCTCTGTGAATTTGAGGCCAGCCTGGTCTACAGAGTGAGTTCCAGGATAGCTAGGGTACACAGAGAAACCCTGTCTTTAAAAATCGAAAATCCATAAAACAAAAGCCATGAGCACACACACAAGCACACACTGTCGTAAACACATAAGTACATGAGCTTCCACTGTCTCACTCAAGCACAGTCAGTCATACACATAAGCTTACACATAGAGAAAGGACTAAAGTTCTAACCAGATGCTGGGAAAAATCTATTACTCTTCATTGAGGATAGAAAACATTGATAATGGTTGTCTTAATTTTCAAAAGCTTTGTTATTTATGTGTATGTTTGTGTGTGTGCCCAAGGAGGTCAGTGAGGTGTCAGCTCCCTGAAGCTGACGTTCCAGGAAGCCGTCATCTGCCTTATGTGGGTGCTGCTAATTGAATTTGGGTTTTCTGTAAGAACAATATGTGTTAGCCACTGAGCCATTTCTCCAGCCACCTGACATGCTTGTCTTAACTAAGGGTTATTGAATTAGCCTTTCTGGATATAAGGCTTAAACAGGAAATTTTTTGTTGTTGAGATTTCTTTGGTTTTATTTTTCTAGCTTTTAAAAGAATCATTTATGGTTCTGGGGAGATGGCCCAGTTGAAAAAAGTATCTGCCATGCAAGTGTAAGAACTTGAATTTGGAGCCAGCACCCACATAAAAGCTAGGCACTGCAATGCCCAGCATTGGGCAGGCAGATTCTAAGGCTCACCAGTTAGCCCGTTTGAACAAAGCCGAGAGTCCCAGGTTCAGTGAAAGACCCTGTCTTGAGATATAAGGAGAAGAGAGACTGAAGAAGATCCCTAACATAGACTCTGCACAGGCGAGTGCACCTCATACACGTGTATATGTAACGTCCAGTACATAAACAGATCAGTTACGCTTACGATAAAACAGCAGTAAAGCACAAGATGGTTATGAAGTGAAAGGTAAAGTGTTCCCCAAGTGTCCTCCACCAGAGAGTAAACATGAAGCTTCTTTTGTAGTCATCAGGAAATTCTGTGTCTAGTAAACATTCAACATGTATATCTTTGTAAAAAAAAATAAATGTTATGTATTTTAAATATTCTTATTGAAATTCAACATCTTAATGGTATATATATATTAGTGCATAAAAATTCTCTTTTAATGTATAGTTACTTAACTAATTTTAATGTAATTTTTAATTCTCAGGGTTATGTGTTTGAAGGTAGTTGAGTGTCTTGTGTTGCATTCATCTACTTGAATAAATGTATATTTTATAGAGCTCAAATGTATGGCTGAGGCAAATTGCTAATAATGAAATTTATTAGTCGTGGACACATACTGAACTTCTATTGAAGTAAGCTGGGGGAGGTATATTTTGGAATGATTTGTAAAACGAGAGCCAGGTAGTCTTTTTGGCAGATACCTACAGAACATATTTATATGTTTGCTGTTGTTGCTGCGTGTTTTACTACAATGGTTGTATATTAAGCACCAGCCTTTATCACCTGTATGTTTTGATCAAATTCTGTAACTTTGGCTCTAGCATCTGTTTTCTCTTATGAAAGGAAGATGAATTTAGGACAACATATAAGAATTATTAGTACTCTGTCTTATAGCTCATGAATTAAGGCATTACATAAGGTCTATGTTCTTCCATTCTTGTTTGGGTATTAGATTACTCTAATGCCTAGCATTATGATATCCTCTAGGGTTATGATATCTTCTGCAGTGTGCAGTGATTACTTGGGGTATTTAGGAAATGACACTGGTTAACTATTTTATGTTTCACAAATTGTAGCTTTTTCATGGTGATACATCACTTGCATAGATGGTGACAGAGCTTAAAACTGGTCAGACAGTGTTTGGAATGATTGTCAGCATGTTGCACACTGGACATCTGTTCCTAAATTACTTGTTGTATCTTGGCAAGGCATAATAGCAGTGCCCTTTAGAGTATAAAGAAAGGCCTTGCCATTACTAAAACTGTTAGCAGTGCCCCTTAGAGTATGAAGAAAGGCCTTGCCATTACTAAAACTGTTAGCAATTGGCAATTTAAGACTGGGGTGTTTCTATCTATAGTATTGACTGTTATTTGGAACTCAGTGTAGAAGTCCTAGGTTCTATATTAGTATTTATATTAGTTCTTAATTTGACCTTTGATCAAGAAAACATATGTTAGTGTTACCCAGTTTTCTGTAAAATTACTATCTCCCAAAATTGCTTTGAGATTCAGGTAAACTGAATTAAAATGTGGTAAAGAACATTAACAAGTATCAAATTCTAGTAATAATGCTAACATGTAGATTTAAAATTTTGCCCTACCTAAAAGGAAATTCAGTAATGGATTTACACAAATACCTCTTTTTTTTTAAGTTAATAAACTGTGTTTCAGAACAGATTTTTTTTTTTTTTGTTTCTCTTTTGTTTTTTGTTTTGGTTTTTTGAGACAAGGTGTCTCTGTGTAGCTTTATAGACCAGGCTGGCCTCGAACTCACAGAGATCCTCCTGCCTCTGCCTCCTGAGTACTGCGACTAAAGGCGTGCGCCACCACCACCCGGCCTAGAACAGGTTTTTATTTTTTATTTTTTTACTTTTTGAGACAGACTCAGCTGTATAGCATTCTATGTAGAGCAGGCTGGCCTTGAACTTGGAGATCTCCTGCATTACCATGCCCAGTTGGAATAATTTTAGATCCACAGGAAAACTGAACAGATAGTACAAAGAGCTTCCATATCTACCCTTACACCACACACACACACACACACACACACACACACACCTCTTCCTTTGCAATCAATAGACTGTACCAGCGTGCTGCACCTGTTACAGCAGGTAAACCTATACTCTTATTGTAAGGATTCAGGTATTATGCTGGTCTGTGCCTGCCATCTGACCGAATGCACTCAGGTGGTCCTCTGGTCAGCTCAGGGTTCCATGACTACCAGTCTGCATTCAGGCACAAAGGACCCCTTTAAAAGAAAGACTGCACCCACTTAATGCTCCCTCTTTCCTGCTGTTCCCCTGGGGCAGACAGGACTTTTCCTGTGTCCCTCTTCTCTTCTGTCCTCTTTCTGTCTCTGTGTCTCTTTACCTCCTTTCTCTTTCCTTCCCCCACTTCCTTTTCTAATAAAAGTTCTCAGCAAAGCTCTGTCTGCCTCTGTCACCCTCACCTGCCATGGAATCTGCCAAGGTTCTCCACATGCTTTATCATAACAGTTATTACCTAATTTCATAATTTGTATCTGCTGTCATGACAGATTCTGTAGATTTAAACTAATTTCTGCTATATGCCTACCATTATGGTCATACAAAGTAGTTTCGTTCTGAAAATCTGCTCTGCTTGTTCATCCCTCCCACCTTCCTGGTTTCTTGCAATGTCTAATGCCTTCGGGTTTTTTGTTTTGTTTTTTTACTTTTGTTTTTGGTTGGGTGTGTTCAAGACATAGCATTGGCTGTCCTGGAACTTCTTCTGCAGCCCAGGCTGGCCTTGAACTCAAGAGATCCTCTTGCCTCTGCTTCTCAAGTGCTGGGATTAAAGGTACCACTACTATCCAGCTCAGTTTTGACTTTTGTTTGTTTATTTGGTTGGTTTTTCGAGACAGGGTTTCTCTGAGTAGCTTTGGAGCCTACCCTGGAATTCACTTTATAGACCAGGCTTTCCTTGAACTCACAAAGATGCACCTGCCTCTGCTCCCCGAGTGCTGGAACTAAAGGCATGTGCTACCACCACCCAGACAGTTTTGACTTTTTACGGGTGCCTTATAGAGGAAACCATATAGTAGATTTTTATCAGTTTTTAATATCATTTGTAGTATTTAGACTATTTGAATAAACTACTTTTCAGATTTAATTTTTCAGCTAATTATCTGGCTTGTGTATCATTTTAGACCATGTGACTATAAGTTATTTATTTGTATGGGTGTTTTGCCTGTGTGCATCTATATGTACAGCATGCATGCTTGATGTCTGTGGAGGCCAGAAGAAGACATAAGATCTCGTAGGACTGGAGTAATAGTCGTGAGCCACCATGTGGGTGCTGGGAATCAGATCTATCAAATTAATACTCTTAACTGTGGAGACATCTCTCCAGCCCTAACTAGTATTTCAAAGAAAACAAAATCAGGGGCTGGAGAGATGGCTTAGTAGTTAAGAACACTGACTGTTCTTCCAGAGGATGCAGATTCAATTCCCATCACCCACATGGCAGCTCACAACTGTCTCTAACTCCACGATCTGACACACTCACACAGGTACACATGTAGGCAAAATACCAATGCAAATAAAATAAAAGAAAATAGATTATTTAAAAAACCAGAATCAATTAGAAAAGGGCCTATCATAGATGATGTCTATTTCATTGTGTTTATTACCTAGGTTTTGATATATATATAATAATTTACACTTGGGTTGGAGTAAAGAAAATTTGAAAGCTGCTGCTTTAATAAGGATAAACCAAACCAAGTTCCAGGACAGCCAGGGCTGTATGGAGAAACCCTGTAGCATGAATAATAGAAACCCAGAGACCCTACTCCTATCTTATATTCCTCACTAGTGCTGGGATTAAAGGTGTGAGCTCTGTTTCTCTTTTAGACTGATTCACTCTCATGTAGCCCTGGGGGGCCTTGAACTCACAGAGATCCATTTGCCTCTGTGTCCTGAGTCCTGGGATTAAATGACTCCTTGTTTGTATTGATTGTGTTGTAATAAGCTTTCCATGTTCATAAATTATTTCAGAGACTGAAAAATCACCTATTTGTAGTGAATGTTTGGAGTAACCTGCTATCTTATTATTAAACTGCCTAAAAATCAGTCTCACTTTTATTCTTCTTGATTGAAAAGGACTGAACATGTGTCACTGCCATGTTCAGAGGTTTGCCAGGTTCTCAGTCCCTGGCAAAGGCTCCGGAGCCAGACTTGAGTTCTTTCACTGTCTCCTAGCGTGGCTCCGCAGAAACAGCTCAGGAGTGTGTGTAAGTCCACTCTGAGTGGGGTCGCTCAGCAGTTAGGATAGCCCCGAATGTTTGGGGTGAATGGTTTCCTTCATGAGGCAGGGGTTTGGTTAGTGACTCCACTGTAAGCATAAAATGGCACTGAATAGATTCTTACCTGTCCACTTGCACAGTGGGAATGGTGTTTGCCTTCCCTGCCTACCACGGGGTTCGTGAGGACCAGAGGAAAATATCTATGTGAACAGTGACAATTGTCAGTGCATGGAACCAAAGATGAAGGAATGTTCATCTCGTCATGTGGTCATTGTTAATCTTTTCACTCCTTCACTTACAGTAATACAGCCTTTTTCTGTGAGGCCTGAAGAGCAGTGTGTCTAATAAATCAAAAGAATGGGTCATCTCTTTTTGTCTTTTCTTCATTTAGTTTCTTTTAAATCCAGCATAGATTTTTTTCCTTTTTTGTAATTTTTGAAAGGAATCAAGTTAAAAATCACATCATAACTTCATGCTTAGCCTTAGTAACTTCCCTTTCTATCTTCCTCCCTTTCTCTTTTCTTTCTGTCTGTCTCTTGTTCTTTCTCTCCACCCCCCCCCTTGAGACAGAGTCTCTTTATGTAACCCTGGTGTCTGCTTGTTCTCTCTGTAGACCAGACTGGTCTTGAACTCCCAGTTCCACCTGCCCTTATCTCCTGAGTGCTGGCATCAAAGGTGTGTGCCACTGTGCTTGGTTAGCATTATTAGTAGTAGTAGTAATAGTAGTAGTAGTAGTAGTAGTAGTTGGTTTTCCGAGATAGGGCTTCTCTGTAGTTTTGGAGGCTGTCCTGGAACTCCCTCTGTAGACCAGGCTGGCCTCGAACTCACAGAGATCCACCTGCCTCTGGGAGTGCTGGGATTAAAGGTGTGCGACACCACTGCCCAGAAAGCCTTACTGTTCTTAAAGTGATCAGTAGAATATTGATTTTTTTCCCCTTGACAAGGATATTTTTTTTCTTTCTTATCCGATTTATGTAAAATTTTATTTTATGTGTGTGGGTATCTTGCCAGGATGTGTCTCCACCACCTGTGCGCCCTGTGCCCACATAGGTCAGAGGGCATTGGATCCCCAGAAAGTTGAGTTAGGGATGATTGTCCTAGGTCCTCTGTAAGAGCAGCGTGTGCTCTTAACTGCTGAGCCAGCTCTTCAGCCCCAGGGTGTTTTCTTTAAGAACTCAGCACAGTGTAATGTGAGGAACCCTTGAGGAGAGACCCTGGTTACTGCCGTCTAGTACTGGAGGTACAGAGTGCCGTTTTCAGTCCCAAGCTCACACTCTGACTGCTGAAGACTGGCCTCCACTTGCTGTGTGCTTTGTGTCTGTCTCCACCGGGTGAAATAATGATAAACCTTAAACTACGTATTGTTGAAGGAATGGTCTAAGTTAGTTCCCCAGTGCCTGGCTCATGTAATTGGTTTTCCCTTTTCCTTAAAAATGTATCTCTAAGCTGGGCAGTGGTGACGAACTCCTTTAATTCCAGCACTTGGGAAATAGAAGCAAGCCAGTCTCTTGAATTTGAGGCCAGCCTACAGAACTATTTCCAGGTTAGCCAGGGATACACAGACAAACTCTGTCTCAGGAAAAGAAATTTTTTCTACTTATACATAGAGGCAGGACAAAGAATTTTATTATTCTGTACCATCTCCTTATTAATAAGATTACATATCAGTGGGATTTTAAGGACTTGCTTCTTGTCCGGATGTTTAGTTCTCTAGTTTGTTTCAACATTTCATTAGAACTGTTGTCAGAAGGATAGTGGTAAGGTCTATTATAAGTCCTTGGTTTGTATGAGATGCTTATAAAAGCCAAAGGTAAAAGATTTTTTTTTTTGGTCTGTGAAGCTGCTGTTTGTTTATTTCCTTATTTTGGCTTGTTGGATGTGTGTATGGAACATCATCCAACAAATAAACTGGAATTTTATTTTCCTGAATTCTAACAAAAATCAAAAGAACAGTAGCACGGGGAGGGGGAAGAAAGAACAGTACCATTAATCATAACTTTATCGCCGGGCGTTGGTGGCGCACGCCTTTAATCCCAGCACTTTAATCACAGGCGGATCTCTGTGAGTTCGAGGCCAGCCTGGTCTACAGAGTGAGTTCCAGGACAGCCTCCAAAACAATACAGAGAAACCTGTCTCGAAAAACCAAAAAAAAAAAAAAAATCATAACTTTATCATCAGAGCATCAATCAGAGTTCTTCCAGAAATTTCTCTCTTAAATATACTGAGTAATCACCAGCGGTGCTGGCACACACTTTTAATCCCATTGCTTGGGAGGCGGATCTCTGTGAGTTTGAGGCCACCCTAGCCTAGAGTGAGTTCCAGGACAGCCATAGCTGTTAAACAGAGAAACCCTGACTCAAAAAACAAAAACAAACAAAAAATACTGAATGATCACAACTACTTTTTATTCCACATACAAACTTTTTCTAAACTTATTCTAGGAACATCATTATCAGAATTTTGATCTCCTCCCCTCATTTATTTTATTTTATTTATTATTATTATTATTTTTGTTTTGTTTTACGAGACAGGGTTTCTCTGTATTGTTTTGGAGGCTGTCGGTCCAGCCCGGCCTTGAACTCACAGAGATCCGCCTGCCTCTGCCTCCCAAGTGCTGGGATTAAAGGTGTGCGCCACCAACGCCCGGCTTCTCATTTATTTTAAATGAACAAAAAGTAATTGTATGTATTTATGGGGTATAGTGTAACACTTGGATAATGTATACTTTTTTTAAAAAAGATTTTATTATATATGTAGTGTTCTGCCTGCATGTATGCCAGAAGGCATCAGGTTTCATTATAGATGGTTGTGAGCCACCTTGTGCTTGCTGTGCATTGATCTCAAGACCTCTGGAAGAGCTCTTACCTCTGAGCCATCTCTTCAGCCCAATGTATGTATTTTTAATGACCAGATGATAAGGATAATTGGCCTGGATAATAGCTTTAAACACCATTTCTTTTTTATGAGAACCTTAAAAACTTTGAAATACAGAGTTCATTAACCAGTATCTCCCTCACCCCAAACCTCTGCTGTCTAACACTGTACTCTGTACTTTCATGAATGCAGTACAGTTAGAGTTCATGTACAAAGGATGGTATGTGATATTGTTCTCCCCATGCTGGCTTATTTCACTTAACACGATGTCTTCGACATATTGTAAATGGCAGAATTTTTCTGGCCTTTGTTTGTTCTGAAGACAGGCTCTGGCTGTCCTAGAACTCACTATATAGACCTGGCTGGCCTTGCACTCACAGAGATCTACCTCCATAGTGGTGGGATTAAAGATGTATGCTACCACGGTCAGCTCTAACTTTCTAATTTTTGTTGTATAAAGAAATATTCCACATCTTAATATTCCATTCATTTACTGATGGACACTAGGTGGTTTCAATGTCTTGTCTTTTACAAATGACGCTGCTGTAAGCACAGAAACCCAGCGTTTCTTTGGCAGTGTGCCCAGTAGTGGGATTTCCACATTTGCAGTTAGTATTTAAGGAAATTGTCAGTGAATGCTGTTTGACATGTTTGTAGAATTTTAGACAAGAGAATATATTTGAAACTTTTTTTGCTCCAGTATGACGAATTAGTTCCTGCTTCTCTAACAACAAAATATGGAGGCTTCTACATCAACACTGGTACTCTTCAGTTTCGACAAGCTTCAGATACTGAAGAAGATGATATTACAGATAACCAAAAGCACAAGCCACCCAAGGTGAGTTTGACATCTTAGTGATAAGGAGAACATAGAATTAATATTATATGCTTTCTGTTATATTTATATTTTTGCTGTACTGAAAATTGAGCCAGGAGTTTTGTTTGCCAAATAAACATTCTTCTTCTAAGCTACACTGACCAGACCAGGATTTTTTGATTATTAGTTGCTTATTATTATTGTATGTAATATCGTGTTGTATATTATATTGTTTTATGCCATACTTTTAAGAATTGTATTTCTCGCCAGGCGTTGGTGGCGCACGCCTTTAATCCCAGCACTCGGGAAACAGAGGCAGGCGGATCTCTGTGAGTTTGAGGCCAGCCTGGTCTACAAGAGCTAGTTCCAGGACAGCCTCCAAAGCCACAGAGAAACCCTGTCTCGAAAAACCAAAAAAAAAAAAAAAAAAAAAAAAAAGAATTGTATTTCTCCTTCCACCGAGAACTCTGGGGATTGACCTCAAGCCATCATGCTTGCATGGCAAGCATTTTTACCTGCTGAGCCATCTTGTTGGCCCCAGAAGATACTTTTTTTTTTTTTTTGAGACATTATCTCATGTTATAACCCTGGCTGTCCTGTAACTTACAATGTAGACCAGGCTGTCCTCAAACTCACAGGGATCCACCTGCTTCTGCCTTCTCAGTGCTGGGATTAAAGGCATGCACCACACTTGGCCTCAGGTTAGACTTTTTGAATATTATTTGTACCACAACTATGAACATAAGGAAAGGTAAAATACTATTGTTTAGTGAAATTTTACTTAATAATGTGTTTAAAATTATGTTGGTGTGGGCTGGGGATATAGCTTAATAATAGAGTGCTTACTTATGCACAAGGCCCTGAGTTTGATTGCCACACTATTTAAAAGACAGGAGAAACCCCAGATAAACAGTCTTTAATCCTAGCACACGGGAGGCAGAGTCAGGTAGATTCTCAGTGAGTTCAAGGTCAGCCTAGTCTTAACATAGCCACCTAGGGCTATAGTGTGAGACCCTTTCTCCAAAAACTAAAGCAACAAAACAGACAAGCAAGAAAGTGTACTAGAGCTATTCATAAGCATTAGCTTCCCTCAGATCTAGTTTGTAGCAATTTTGGTTGTACAAAGCTCAGAAATGAATATTATCCATAGGTGTTTCCTCCTGTGTGGTCAAAGACTTTATTTGTGCCAAAATCACTAAAATCCTTATTTAAGATGGAGACTCTAAGGCCCCAGTGAACTGAATCAAAGCCATGGTTGAAAGACTGATACAGAGCTTGCACCATTGCATGAGAGACTGAATTTGGATTACCAGTGCCTGTCTGAAAGCCTAGCATGGTGGCATGCACCTGTAAACCAAACACTGGAGAGGCACAGACAGAAGGGTATCTGGGCTTGCCCACAAGTCAGTCTAGCTTAATTGGTGATCCTGTTTGAAATAAGGTGGAAAATAATGAAGAAGGCACCCATTGTCTCCCTACACAGAATCACATACACAGCAGTAGCAACAAAGACAGACAAGAGTGCTCATTGACCCTAAAAACGTATACTCTCAGCAAATAATTCCAACAGACACTTTAAAGACCACTGCTTTAGATGCTGTATTGCTGACATCAAGGAGGAAAATACTGACACTTGGATATATTCTCTAATCATTTTGCAGGTTCCCAAAATAAAAGAAGATGATATTGAGGTGAAAAAGAGGAAGCGCAAAGAGGAAGGGGAAAAGGAGAAGAAGCCGAGGAAGAAAGTGCCCAGACAACTCGGGTACGCCACGTCATAGTGCCACAGGGCTCCGGTGCCTTTACAAATACATGTGTTCACCACCAGTCTATTTATTTGTCTAGTCTGATAATGACCTATCTGTATTTTAACAACATTGTGGTACAGTTATAAGCAGGAAGCTTTGTCATCTTAGAGACTTTCAGGTTACACTTACAGATTTTTCATTGGCTGTCTTGTTTATTACAACTTTTTAATCTTGAAGAACCAGTTTAAGCCAGATATGGTGGCACAAATCTGTATTTCTAGGAATTGGAAGTTCAAGGACACCCTGAGCTATGTGAGGAGTTTGAGGCCAACATGGGTTATGTAAATCCCTGTCATATCATCCAGAAGATGTTGATGAAGGTGATATCATGAAAGCCTAATAAGAAATTAAAGAGACAATTTGTTCTGCCATCTCCCACATAATTATTTTAGATTTTAATTATTTTATTCATTTCCATAGGGGATTAACTTTTAAAATGACACAGCCTAACCAGTCTATTTTCCTTCACAGAGTTGTGGCTCTCAATTCCCACAAGTCTGAAAAAAAGAAGAAGCGAAATAAAGATTCCCTTTATTTGGCTGCCATGATACGAAAATTTCAAAAAGAGAAGGATGCATTAAAGAAGGAATCTAACCCTAAAGTCCCAGTGAACATACCAACTTCCTGTCTCACTAAGCCCTCTTGTGCTGCCACAGCCGTGGGGGATGACATCCCGGACTTAAGTTTGAACAGTGCTGATCCAGACCTCCCTATTTTTGTTAGCACAAATGAACATGAATTGTTTCAGGAAGCTGAAAATGCCCTAGAGATGCTCGATGACTTTGACTTCGACAGATTACTGGATGCTGCTTCTGATGGTAGCCCCCTCTCTGAGTCAGGGGCAGAAAATGGAAACACCACCCAGCCCACTTTCAGCTCTCAGGTTATGCCAAAGGTGGTGCCTACGCTGCCCGATGGTCTACCTGTGCTCCTTGAGAAACGCATTGAGGACCTTCGTGTAGTAAGTGTAATGATACTCTTGGTTTTTATTCACTCACATGCATGTAGTTTTAAGTTTGAAGATAAAAACAACCCATAGTCTCAACAGCCTATTTTCCATAACAACTTGTAGACGTTGGCTGGATATACATGAGTGTTTTGTTGAAATTTCCTTGGATTTGCTATACACTTGATTTTTTCTTCTGCTGGGGAGAGAACCTAATGCTGTATGCATGTAGATAACCACTCTACCACTGCACCACATCCTAAGCTCTGTACTAGATTCTTTCCTGTTTCTTCAGTTTGCCTTACAAAGTTTGCTTCATATTTGGTTGTGTGTGTGTGTGTGCAAGCGTGCGTGCTTGCACCCATATATTCATAGTGCACAGGGAGAGGTCAGAGGACAACTTTCAGAAATCCATTCTTTTCTTCCAGCATGTGGGTTTTGGAAATCAAACTCGGGTTTTCAGGCTTGGTAGCAATTGCCTTTACTACTGATCCATCTTGCCAACCCCTATCTTACAAATAACATCTTATATAAGTTTCATAATACAATTTTTAGGATATATTTTATGTGTATTAAGTGTATGTATGCATACATGTCTGTCTGTCTGTGTACCAGGTGTATACCTGTGGTGATATTTATGATCTAGCAAAGCTTGCCTAAAGATCAGAGTGCAAAGCTAGCCACACTAGTCAGCTACAGAGGCCAGGCAGTGGTGGTGCATATGAATCTCTGTTAGTTCAAGGCCACCCTGGGCTACACAAAATTGATCCAGTCTAAAAGAGAAACAACTCACACAGAGGTGATCACAACACTTAGAGTGACATGCCTTTAATTCAAACACTAAGGAGGTTGAGACAGCGATATTCCTGGGAGGAGAGAGGAATATAAGGCGAAGGGAGACAGGAGCTCTGGGCGGAAGTCAGTCTGAAGCGTCTGAGGTTTTGTAGAGACAAGAGTCAGCCAGTCTTAGGTAAACAGTCTGAGGCTAGGATGCCCCTTTGATCAGAGCATTGGTAGAGGTGAGAACTCTATAGTGGCTGGTAGCTTTGCTTTTCTGATCTTCCAGCTACCCCTCCCCACCCCCACCCCCACATCTGACAGGTTTTTATTACTATACCAATTAGAGTTCGTGCTGCATATTCCTGTGTCCACGGATCCCCTAGGGCTGGAGATGTGGGCCCTGGGAATAGTAAGAGCAGCCAGTGCTCTCAACTGCTGAGCCACTACTCCAGGCCCTCTTTCTTAATTCCGTTTTTATTAGCTACAGACATGTAAAGAAAACAGTGTAGAGAAAGGAGTGAGTTATCACATTGTGGAAGTATACCTGGACTTACTTGGTCCAAACTATTTTAACATGTAGTAGTTTCATTTTGTTAGTTGTTTTTGTAGTTCCGAGGGATCAAGACATGGGCTTCATACAACCTAGGCAAGAGTTCTGCCACTAGCCGGGCGTTGGTGGCGCACGCCTTTAATCCCAGCACTCGGGAGGCAGAGGCAGGCGGATCTCTGTGAGTTCGAGGCCAGCCTGGTCTACAAATTGAGTTCCAGGACAACCAGGGCTACACAGAAAAACCCTATCTAGGAGGGAAAAAAAGTTCTACCACTGAACTACATTGTGAGCCCCTAGTTATTTCATAATCTACTTTTCTAGGTAATCAGCAACTATATAGTAAGCATTAGTGCCTTCCAAGTACTGGGATTAAAGGTGTGAGCCACCACACCCAGTTTTTTTTTTCTTTATTTTGTAAAAGATTTTATTTGATATTTAATTATAGAGGGGTTATACACATGTGAGCAGGTGCCCATGGTGGCCAGAAGATTTCATTGGATCCCCTGGAACTGTAGTTATGACTCCAAATTGAACACATTTCAGAAAATTCATAGAAATCATGTTATCTTTCTGGGTCTGTATTATGTTAGAATGATTATTTCCAGCTTCATCCATTTACCTGACGATTTCATAATTTCATTTTTCTTTACAGCTGAATAATATTACATTGAGTTAAATGTGCCACATTTTTACTCCCTATTCATTGTTGATCGACATCTAGGCTATTTACTGGCTATTATGAAGAGTATCATAATGGTTTTTTTTTTTTCTGGTGTGTTTAGTTTTTTGAGTTTTTGAATATTCTAGGTACCAACTCTCTGTCAGATGTGTAGTTGGTGAAAGTCTTTTCCCATTCTGTAGGCTGCTTTTGTTATGTAAATGATGGTGCCCTTGGCTCTTTCCTGAGGGTCCTTCCGTTTGTTATTTGATGATCCTAATTCCTGCACCACCAGACTTCTATTTATAAGGTTCCCTCCTGTGACTCATGTACAAAGTGTTTTACATCCTTGGTTACCTTAGTCAGGAATTTTTGTTGTTTGGAAGTGTTGTGAATGGCATTGTTTCCCTGATTTTTCCCTTGGCTAGTCTGCCTTTGGTATAGGAAGCCTCCTGACTTATGTGTTGATTTTGTACCCTGATACTTTGTTGCTCAGTGTCTGTCAGCTGTAGGAGTTATGGTGAAGCCTCTGCCTCCCGAGTGCTGGGATTAAAGGCCACCAATGCCGGGCGAGATATATTTTGTATCCCAATATTTTAGTGTAGGTTCCATGTGCTGAGAATGTATAAACTCTAATGTTGTGTATGTAAATGTTAGAGCCATTTGATCTATGATACCATTGTTTTGTTTCTACATGATCTAGCCATTGGTGAGAGGGGTGATAAAAGTGACATATTGAAGCCACCTACTGATAATGTGTATGTGTGTTAATCTGTTCCTTTACCATCTACGAGTATTTGCTTTGTAAAGATAGTGTACCCAAATTACTGCATGTGTATTTAAGATTGTAATGTCTTGATGAATTGTTCCCTTGATCAGTTTAGTTTGAAGTCTACTTGGTGTATTATTGACCATCCTTCCATTCTAAGGTGATTTCTAGCTCTTGTGAGGTATATTTCTTTGTTTTGATGGATATTGTTTCTTAATCCAATTTGCTAGTGTCTTTTGATTTGGGTGTTAAGACCATTGATGTTTAGAGTTATTCTTGAAAGATGTGTATTGATTGCTGTCATTTTGTTGATTTTATTGTGTTTGTTTTCTTAGGTATTCCTGCCACTACTTCTTGAATATGCCTAACTCTTCCATCCAAAGTATTACTTAGCTTGTCCTGTGTAAGATAGACTTGGTGATCATAACTCCCTTTAACCTGCCTTTCATCTTGGCAAGTTCTCCATTCTTCTTTGATTGTTACAAATAAATCTGTGCTGGAATTAGTAATCAGACTTGTAAAACAAGCCCTTCTGGCTTTATAGTCTATATTGAAAAATCAACTGCTGTTTTCATGGACCTGCCTTTTTATGTGACTTTTTCTCTCTTGCAGCTTTCAATATTCTTTGTTTTGAATATTTAGTGTTTTGACTACTACGTGTTGTCTTCTTGGTCCTATTTGGTATTCTTTATGATTTTTGCACATTGGTAGGCATCCTTTTTCTTAGGTTTGTGAATTTTTTCCCTATGATTTTGTTGAAAATATCTTCTGTAAGGTGGAGCTTGATGGCACACAACTTTAATCCTAGTGCTCAGGAGACAGACAGGTGGATCTCTGTGAGTTGAAGACTAACTGATCTACATAGTGAGACCCTGCCTTAAAAGACCAAAATATGGTAGGCAGTGGTAGTGCACTCCTTTAATCCCAGCACTTGGGAGGCAGAGGCAAGCATGGTCTATAGAGTGAGTCCCAGGACAGCCAGGACTGTTAGAAAGAGAAACCCTGTTTTGAGAAAAAACAATAGGAAATGTTTAAAAATATTTTGATTTTATTTTTCAATTATGTGTAAATATCGGGGTGGAGTGAGGCTGTCCACATGAATGCAGTGCCTTCAGAAGCCAGAGGAGGTTTTGAATGCCCTTGGAGCTGTGAATCTGTGATTTTTTTTCTCCCTCTCCCTCTCCTTCTCTCTCTTTCTCCTCCCTCTCCATTTCTCCTGCTTCACCTTCATTGTTATTTTTTGAGACAAGGTTTTTCTGTGTGGCCCTGGTTTTCCTGGAGCTCATTCTGAAGACCAGGCTGGCCTGGAACTCATAGGTCTGCTCCCACATGCAGGGGTTAAAGGCGTGTGCCCTGCCCCTCCACATGTTCCTTCTCTATTGGTGTGATAAAATACCCTGACCAAGGCAACTTATAAAATAAGATATTGAACTTGGAGCTTACAGTTCAGAGAGTGAGAGTTCATGGTCATCTTGGCAGCACAGGCAGACTTTTTGGCACTGGAGTAGTAGTTGACAGCTTACATTCTTATCTGAAAACAGGAGGCTGAGAGGTCTGTAAAACCGTCAGGCTTGTGAAGCCTAAAAGCCTGCCACTGGTGACACACCTTTTTTTTTTTTTTTTTTTTTTTTTTTTTTGGTTTTTTTGAGGCGGGGTTTCTCTGTATTGTTTTGGAACCTGTCCTGGAACTCGCTCAGTAGACCAGGCTGGTCTCGAACTCACAGGGATTCACCTGCCTCTGTCTCCCAGCCAGTCATACACGGAGTAGGACAGACAGAATGAAAGGTAAGAAGCCCCAAGGCAAATGTAGATGCGGAGAAACAGGTTAAATGAAGGGAGAGAGCTAGCTAGAAACAGTAAGATAGGGCCCAAGCATTCATAATTAAAATATGTCTCCATGTCATGGTTGGTCACCCAAAGAAAGTCAGTTACAGTAGCCATCAGTTCTTTGTGTCTTACTTTGAAATACAAGATAGTGCTTTTTCTTCAGGATAAAATTTATCCTGAGCTCACACATTTGTATCTGACTGATAAGCGGCTTCTTGCTGTTCATTTTTTACTTTGCAATGAGTAAATATCCTTCTATGATAAACATTTTGACTTAAATTTGTCCTTTTTTTCTAAAGTTTCACTTTCATACTGGCTTTCTTTGTATATTTCTGTCCTCTGCACATGCCTAATCTTCCTAAGAAACATGTCTTAGAAATTTGCGTTTTCTTTGTAAAGCATGTGAAGTGTCAAACACTCTGGGGAGCTTGGTAGAGGTGGCCCTGGCTTACTTAAGTTATGTCAAGTCTGTCCAGTCATTGTGCACCGAGTGACTCCTGACATTAGCTGTGCCTTCGGCTCTCTCGGCCTATCTGCCTGCTGTAAGTGATGATGGCAGTTTCCAAGTTAAAAACGCTTTTGCTTCTGGTCATCAGGTTAAGAGGAAATAAAGTGTGACAGTGTTGTTCTCAAGCTTATAGTTTGTGCTTATTCCTTGATAATTTTTTATTGCTCTCAATTATGTGGAAGCCAGACTACTGCAGTCAGCGGGTGTCTGTGCTGTGTGGCAGTTTTACAGTTTACAAAGGCCTTAGTCTAAATCTTGGCTGCGTAACTTACTAGCAGTTTGATTTGGGGGCATCTTGTGTAACACTTCTAACTTATTTATAAGATGGGGGTGTATCTTATAAATACTTATAAGTTTATAAATCTTATAAACTACCATCCTCTGGCTGTTTATGTAGATTCTATATGATAATGAGCATAAAGTATATAATTGAGTAGAAGTATACAAAGTTTAAAAGTTCATAGACCTACCATCAAAGACTTTTTCTTTAGGAAACAAATAATCTTGTTTTTAAAAATTGTGTTTTGAGTGCTGGCAGCTTACTCAGTGTTTGGGAACTTACCTAACATGTACAGGTTCTGATCTCACTCAGCACAGGAAAGGTAATGTGGGTGGACATATCAGTAGATAAATTCAGCAGTTTAAATAATGAAATAAAATGGAAGTCCTAACACATCAAAGGCAGGAGCAGAAGTACTGTTGCCTGGCATTTTTGTTTAGATACATATATGTTTGTGACATGAGTTTTGGCTAAGTCTAATATTTAATCACATTTCACATTAAAAGTTATAAAGCTTATGACAGGCTGTGGTGGCACATGCCTTTAACCCCAGCACTGCGGAGGTAAAGGTAGGCCAATCTCTGAGTTCAAGGCCAGCCTGGACTACAGAGTGAGTTACAGGACAAGCTCCAAAGCTGCAGAGAAACCCTGTCTCAAAAAGCAAAACAAACAAACAGATTATGAAGTTTAAGGTGGACATGATCACAGGATCCTGCAGAGTCCTTGGGTGGGGTGCTGGATGATGCTGGAATCTGATTCAGTAGGGTTTCGAAGCTCAAGACGAGCCTGGGCTACATAGGGAGTCTATGTCTATAAAAACAGGAAGTGTGTGTGTGTGTGTGTGTGTGTGTGTGTGTGTAAGATAGAGGAGACAGAGGAGGAAGAGGAAAGAGCTTTTATGTGTTTTTACTCAAATGTAATGTCTGTTCTGTACTTTGGGCATTTTGGCAAGTACTTTATCTGTCACAAGATTAACACTCAATTTTCAGTTTCAGACTTTTCATGACCTTTGATGATGATGGTATTTTACTGATAATGAAGTTTATTATTATTAGTAGTAGTAGTAGTATTGTTATATAATAACATTAGTAATTGTTTATTGTGAATTATATTGTCTGTTTTATGTTTCTCTAGGCTGCTAAACTTTTTGATGAAGAAGGAAGAAAAAAATTCTTCACACAAGATATGAATAATATTCTTCTGGAGTAAGTGATTTTTATCTTTTTCTTTTTAAACCTGTACTGGAAATAATCTCAGTGATCTATTTGCCAAGCATTTCTGAGGCCCTAGATTCCAAAACCTTGCTGGCTGTGAGGCTGTATTTAGTTGGTAGAGTGCTCGCTTAGCATGCTGGAAGCCCTGGATTTGCATACACTGGGTATGGTGTGGTGCACCTCTGTAATCCCAGCATTTTGGAGGTGAAGAATGAGCAGTTGAAGGTCATCCTCAGCTACCTTGTGAGTTCAAGGCCAGCCTGACCTACTTGACATTCTATCTCAAATAAATTAATAAACTAATTAATTAATAAGAAACTTTGCAGAGAGTGGTATATACCTCTAATCCTAGCACCAAGAGGCTAAGAACTGCAAATTTGAGGCTAGCTTGGGATACAGGGCGGATGAGACAGCTCAGGCAGAAAATACTTTCTATGCAAGCCTGTTCTTTGTTTGAACCCTAGAACCCAAATGGAAGGAGAGAATCCACCCCCAAAATTATCTACTGAACTCCCTACACTTGGGGCATGCATTTACCCATACCTGCATACATCTTACAACTCATTATAATAATAATAAGTGAGTGGTTGGGGTTGAGTTCCACGGTACAGTTCTTACCTTTAATTTACAAAGGTCTGGATCAGATTCCCCAGCTCTGTATACAATTGGGTGAGGTGCTTCATACCTATTTTCCTAGCACTGTAGAGGTAGAGGCAGGAGAAAAAGGAAATTTAAGGTCATCCTCAGGAATAATACTAAGGTATGGAGTCACAGACTAGCCTTGGCTATATGAGCCTTTTTCTCAAAAAACAAAAAAACTATATACATTCACACAGTTGACCTGTGAAAACCAGTGGCTCAATGGATAAGGTTCTTACCGACAAATCTGATGGCCTGAGTTTGACCCCTGGGACCCACATGGTTGAAGGAGAGAACCAAGTCTACAATTTATCCTCTGACCTCCTCAGGTACCCCATGGTACCATATGTATGCACACACACACATGCATACCCATACATAATTGTTATTTTTTAAGTATTTTTTTAATTGACTTGAGAGGTTTTGGTCTCAGTCATCAGTTTTTCCTGGTCTGCTAACCCCACACTACTAACAATAGTTATAACTGTTGTTATTTCTAGCTTTTAGAGCAGGTGACTACTATGCAAGTTGACCATTCAGCTGGTCCTAGGTGTATTTGTGTTACCTTATATAAAAATGTCTGCAAGTTTAGACTGTTTATTCAAATTGGTATAATTGTCCACCTATTTCTATTACTCAGAATTGAGACAAATGATTCCATAATTATTTGCTGAGGTTAATTATAATTTCATACAAAATTTATAGCCAAATGGAAACTATGGTTCAAGGAAGAAATCTTGGAGCCAGGCATGGTGGTGGTATACACCTTTAATCCCAGCACTGGGAGGCAAAGGCAGGTGGAGCTCTTAGTTTGAGGATAGCCTGTCTTGAAAAACCAAAGAAAACTATAAATCAGATTGGGAGAAAAAAGGTAAAGGCGCATTATGACATGGATTATATTTAAATGAGTGGATTTATGGGTTTAATATCAGTTTTACACTCAGAGTTTGATACCAATGAAGCTGTTTGATGTCTGTAGCCAAATAAGCTGTCTCTGTAAAATGGTCTCATAAGTTTAACTGTTGGTTGTAGGATTTAAGAATACAGTTAGCACAGGCAGAACTAGACAAATGTGAGCTTGTGGAAAGAAGCAGATTTTACTTGTGTGATGAAAATAATTGATCTACTCTGGTATTTTTAGTATCGATACGAAGATACAAGCAAACAGCTTCTGTGACAGGGGTCAGAGACATACGTAATAGATATATTCAGCATAAAAGGGTGTATTTTCATTACTTATAGTTAGTTACAGTCTGTTATCCTGGTACTTGCGAAGCAGACTCCTCAAACATCATAGCAGTGTGTTTCCAGTGGAGTGGGGAGGCTTCTTTGTTTGAACCAGGGTTTCAGGGTTTTCAGGTTGGATACATGTACTTGGAAGAGGTATATGACATCACTTCTAAGCTCCAGATTCACCAGACAGTGCAGAGATGTCCCAGATCCGATCTCACTAGCCACTATAATTTCCCCTTGTACTAACTCAGATCTTCCCCTGTGGCTAAGACTGGCCTGTCCCCTCTCTCCCTCTTCCCTCCCTCTCTCCTCTCCTTTCCATGCCTCTCTTCCTGTTGGACAGTCTGTTTCCCCAGGAGAGTGGAGAGCCCATCCTTGTGCTCTGGAAGCGCAGTAAACACAGTGTTAGAGCTCCATTAGCAGGCGTCTCTCTCCATTCTTTCCCTTTTTGTCACAGACAAATCCCAGTTGGGGAGCCCATCTACTTCAGTTTCCCTCTTAAAGATGTATTTATTTTTATTTTATACGTACGGGTGTTTTGCCCGCACATTCGTAGCTGCACCATGCATGTGCCTGGTGCCCAAGGAGGCCAGAAGAGGGTGTCAGACCCCTTGGAATTAGAATTACAAACAGCTGTTGGTCGCCATATGGGTATTGGGAATCAAACCCTGGTCTATTGGAAGCAGGTCAGTGCCCTTAATTGCTGAACTATCTCTCCATCTACACACACACACACACACACACACACACACACACACACACACACACACACACACACACACACACACACTACCATGTGCTTTTCATAAAAGGTAAGCTTTCAGTTCTTCAAGCCCTTAGGCTCAGAGTTGAAGTTTTTCCTTTAATGTCACTTTATTGTTGTTTCTGGCCTTTTTTTTCTGACCACTTTCCCTCTGTCCTAAATCCACATGCCTTACTCTTCTGGACAGAGTGTTCTTGTAATAGCATGTGTAATCCCATAACATTACTCAGATGTATTGACTTCACCATTTCTTCTTTTTGTTCAGGAAAAAGAAATTATTTTATTGGTTCACTATTTTTTTCCATAGTTGAATTTGACCTAAATGAACAAGTATGCCATTCACTGGCTTGATTTCCTTCCCTGTTCCCTGCTGTAGGCATTTTGAATAGATAATGGACTTCTGGCTGGCTCAGGTCCACTCAGATTGCACTAGGCATGACTATTTGCTGGCCATCTCCTTTGTGCTCTTTGAATGAGTAGTGACTTGATGGCAGTATAGAGAGGACCTAACAGTTGCTTTCTCTCAGGGAGTCAGCTCTCCTGTGTCTGAGTTAACCTTTTTAGAAACCAGTGACTTTTTAAACTGTCTCCTTAAGTCAGTCTAGACTTTTGGGACATCTCTTAGTACTTGGAGAGTTTGTATTTTATTTTTAGTCTCAACTCCCTTTTTTAACGATATAGCAAGTACTGAAGTCCTCCTACTCAGAGCTTAGGCCCTAAGTAAATGTCTAGCCAAATGCTACCAGCCAAGCATCTCTGCATAGCACTCATGACCATGACATCATTTCCCTGTGGACTCTTGGATTTAACCCTCTATTCACTGTTTTTCTAATATCAGGAATTTTCTAATACCAGTTTTTGTTTTCCAAGGCATGGCTTCTTTGCATAGCCCTGGCTGTCCTGGAACTAGCTCTGTAAAACAGGCTGGCCTCGAATTCACAAAGATCTGCCTGCTTCTGCCTCCCAAGTGCTAGGATTAAAGTCATGTACTACCACCACCCGGCCCTTTTACAAATTCTAAAGAGCGTGGTTTTGTCTGTTATTTTCCCCCCCTGAAATTATATCTTTTTTTCTTTTCTTTTCTTGGGGGCTTGTGGGGGGGTGGTCAAGACAGGGTTTCTCTGTGTAGCCTTGGCTGTCCTGGAACTCCCTCTGTAGACCTCAGGCTGGCCTCAAACTCACAGAGATCCACCTGCCTCTGCTTCCTGAGTGCTGGAATTAAAGGTATGTACCACCACTGCCCAGCTGAAATTACAGTATATCTTAGAGGTGATAAATTTATTTGATAAGGGAGGCTAAATATCCCTGTATAGTTTCCTATAATTATCTGTGATGATTTGAACATAATTTGTTGGCAAGAGCATTACTTTGTTGTTGTTTTTGTTTTGATACAAAGTCTCTATATGTATCCTCTAATAGCCTGGAGTTCCTACGAAGACCAGGCTACTCTGGAATTCAGAGCAATCCTTGCCTCGTCTCTCTGAGTAGGATTAAAAATGTTCACCACTAAGCCCAGCTAAGAGCCCCAATTTGATATTGGCCTTCAAGCTAACATCTTCCATTTTGAGAGACACCTTACTAATTGCTAAAATATGACAATTATTACTAACTTTACTGCTCTACTTTTGAAAGAGATATCAAGAGAGAAGAGAAAAATACTAATCCCACTAAATAAGAATAAAGACCAACGAACCAAACTTTTTGGTCAAATTAGCAAGCTTTATTTTCTGTCAGACAGTGCTATCTCCCTAAAGACAGGTTTGAGAAAGTAGCATTGAACGTAGAAGAAAGTAGGGCTTATCTAGTCAAAACTGCAAGGCTAGGGGGTTCCCAAGGGTTTTCGGTAACATGGGAACTTGGTAGAAAATGTCTCAAAATTATTTAGCAGATCATCTTATCAGGGTGGAGGTCAGGTTATAGGTGTGGAACATGTTGAATTCCAGAAAATGGGTAAAGACATGCTCAAATTTGTTTTACAGTAAACAGGAAGGAAGTTACTTGACCTTGTAACAAGATGGCTTCTAAACTTAAGATGGAGTCAGGCTGGTCAATCAAAAAGAAATAGCTACTAGGCAAAACAAAGATTAAACTATTCCCAAAAAGGAAGTGAGAAATAATCACAATAAATTGAGTAAACTATTAAATACACAGCTGTGCCACAGGCACACTAAGGGAAACAAGAATGAGTAAATAGCGTGTGCACATAGCTGGTTGTGGAGGAGCCTGCCTTTTCAGATGCCTTCAGAGACAGTACTGTGGGACTGTAGTCCTAGAAATATCTGCCTTTGTGCGCTCTCTCTCTCTCTCTCTCTCTCTCTCTCTCTCTCTCTCTCTCTCTCTCTCTCTGTCTCTCTCTCTGCTTTTGTTTTATTTTGTTTTTCAAGAATGGGATTCTCTGTGTAGTCCTGGCTGTCCTGGAACTCAGTTTTTACGATAGGCTGGCCTCAAACTCAAGAGATCCACCTGCCTCTCCCTCCCAAATGCTATGATTTAAGGTGTGCGTGTGCTCCACCACCTGACTATATTCTGGCTTATATGATACTATGTAAAAAGGATTTTATGTTGTGAGGCTGGAAAGATGGCTCAGAGGTTAAGAGCATAGGCTGCTCTTCCAGAGGTCCTGAGTTCGATTCCCAGCAACCACATGGTGGCTTACAACCATCTGTAATGAGACCTGGCGCCCTCTTCTGGCCTGCTGAAATACATGCAGACAGAACACTGTATACATAAAAAATAAATAAATCTTTAAAAAAAGAAGTTTAAAAAAAAAAAGGATTTCTTGTTGTTTACTGTCGTGTGTTTTGTTTTGTTTTTATTTTTGGTCAGCATTGAGTTACAGCTACAAGAACTAGGCCCTGTCATTCGTAGTGGTGTCTACTCCCATCTTGAAGCCTTTGTGCCATGCAATAAGGAGACCCTGGTGAAACGTCTAAAGAAGTTGCATCTTAATGTCCAGGTAAGTGGGAGAATAGTGTCCCATCTTAGTGACCAGGGAAGTGGAATAGTGTCTCATCTTAGTGTCCAGGGAAGTGGAATAGTGTCCCATCTTAGTGACCAGGGAAGTGGAATAGTGTCTCATCTTAGTGTCCAGGGAAGTGGAATAGTGTCTCATCTTAGTGTCCAGGGAAGTGGAATAGTGTCTCATCTTAGTGTCCAGGGAAGTGGAATAGTGTCCCATCTTAGTGTCCAGGGAAGTGGGAGAATAGTGTCTCATCTTAGTGACCAGGGAAGTGGAATAGTGTCCCATCTTAGTGACCAGGGAAGTGGAATAGTGTCTCATCTTAGTGTCCAGGGAAGTGGAATAGTGTCTCATCTTAGTGTCCAGGGAAGTGGAATAGTGTCTCATCTTAGTGTCCAGGGAAGTGGAATAGTGTCTCATCTTAGTGTCCAGGGAAGTGGAATAGTGTCTCATCTTAATGTCCAGGGAAGTGGAATAGTGTCTCATCTTAGTGTCCAGGGAAGTGGAATAGTGTCTCATCTTAGTGACCAGGGAAGTGGGAGAATAGTGTCTCATCTTAGGTTTTGTGACCAGTAAACAAGAAAGTGTTTGCTCAGAGTCTTTGCACACACATCACTTCCTAGTCCTATTGTGAATGTTTAATAGCCATAGGGTGTTACCCTTCTTTAGGGCTGTCGACATAGCTCAGCAGGTAAAGGCAAAATTGTCCTCCAAATTGCACAGATACATCACACATGAACAACTAACTACACATGGACGGGCATACACATTTAAAAAGACACTTCAACTGTTGATAGGCTTAGATGAAAAGTACTGACTTCTAAGGCATAGGTTCTTGGTCTAGAAAGTCAGTGTAGTAGGTACAGCAAACAGAATTCTTGACTAAGGTATCAAAGACTTCTTTTGAGTTGAAAAATTATAGTCCTTTCTTGATTCAAAGCCGGTGAATGAACAAAAAAAAATTGTGTTCCTATCTCATACTTTATATTTTTGCCGGCGACTTCATACATTGGCAATGGGAACCAAAATTCAAATGGCAAAATGGGTAAGTGATAAAATAGAACTAGAAGTAGAGACACTTTTTAGTTTTATTTATATGGCCTTGGCTGGCCTAGAGCTCACTATGTACATACAGCAGGTTGGTGTCAGACTCACAGAGACCCACCAGGAGTGCAAAAACCACCATTTTGTGTAGTATAAAACACTTTCTTTTCTTTTTGAGAAGGTATTCTGTACTAAACTAGACCAAATACAGCAGTGTTTACATTTGGGTGCTGGGATTGTAGACTTTCACCATCTAGCCTGTTTTTGATTGTGGGTTGTTGCCGGCGCCCCCTCCTCCCACCCAGTGTTTCTCTGTCTAACAGCCCTGACTGTCCTGGGACTCCGTGGATCAGGCTGGCCTCAAACTCCTTGAGATCTGCCTGCCTCTACCTCCCTAGTACTGGGTTTAAAGGCATGTGCCACCACTACCAGGCTGTTTGTTTTTAATTTTTATTTTCCAAATGGATGTTCTGCCTGTATATACATCTGTATACTATGGATGCTCATGGTGCCAGAAGAGGTTATTTTAGCTGTCATGTGAGTCCTGGAATCAGAATTGGGTGTCAGAATCTGGCAGGCCTGGAACTGGCTATATAGATCAGACTGGCCTGCCACTGCCTCCTGAATAATGAGATTAAAGGCATGCATAACCATAATAGGCCTCACCTCACCTGGTTTTATGTTTTTCTAGGAACCAAACCTACTACTTAATGCATGTTAGGCAAACTTTCAACCAACTGAGGTACATCCCCAACCCCAGATTATAAAATATTTTGGGCCAGCTATAGTAGTGAACACCTTTAATCCCAGCACTCTAGAGCAGAGACGTGGAGATCTCTGAGTTCAAGGCCAGCCTGGTCTATATAGTGAACTCCAGGATAGCTAGAGCTTCATAGTAAGACCCTGCCTCAAAAATGACGGCAAAAACAACAAAATATTTTCATAGAAGCATTTAAGGTTTGATGTTTGAAGTTATTTAATATACCATTGGATATAAGAGAAAGACATCGTCTGTCTTGTCCTTGATGGTCTTTGTTTAAGCTTTGTCACACCGTTTATATCCCTAAAAAATGTTTTCTTCTCTTAACTTGCTTTCTAACACCATGTTGCCTCAGATGTATGTTGACATACAGTAGAAATCCATTTCTCCTGGTGTGTATATAGCTCTCTATTATATGAATGTATAGCTCATCTAGCTTCTCAATTGCACTGTTTATAGATATTTGAAAATTTCCAGGGTCATCTTTTTTTTATTTAGTTTTAATTTCACATCCCAACACTAGTTCCCGCTCCCACCCTTCCTCCCCACTCCTTCCTCTCTTCCCACACCCTGTCCACCCCTCAGAGGGGATAAGGCCTTCCTTGCCAAGTTGAATCAGGACCAGGCCCCTCCCCCTTGAATCAAGGCTGAGCAAGGTATTCCCCCATAGGGAATGGGCCCCAAAAAAGCCAGTCCAGTCCATGCACCTGGGATAGGTCTTTGTGCCTCTGCCAAGGGGCTGGTCCCCTAACAGATGAAGCCACACCGCTGTCACCACATGCAGAAGGCCTAGTTCTGTCCCATGCAGGTCCCCAGCTGCCAGTCCAGAGTCCTGTGCTCCCTCTAGCTTGGGTCAGCTGTCTCTGTGGTTTCCCATCATGCTCTTGACCCTGTCCTTGTGCATACAATCCCTCCTTCCTTTCTTCAACTGGGTCATCTTAACTACAAAATTCTTCAATAGATCTTTATACTAAGTGTTGAGATTTTTATTCCAGACACCATTACATGCTTAGTTTATTAACTGGTGTCCATGGACTAGGTTAAAATGCTTTCTAGTCATAATTTTCATGTTCTAAATACATCTTTTACCAAAAGTTGTGATGACTTGTTGTGAGCTGGGGGTATAGCTCAGGTAAAGACTTGCTTGGTATGTCTGAGTCTGAGTTTCCTTTCTATGCTGAACCCAAATGGAGAAGAGTTTCTCAGTTTCCTCGTTCATTTAGCCTTGAACTTAATGTTTGTTTTCAGTGTAAGTTATAATTGCTTGCAAGAACTAGGAGAACATGGTGCCTACATCCTGTTGGTAATCACCAAAGAAGATTGTGTGTTGTTGTATTTCAGAGTAGTGTCTTTTGGGTGTATATCTTTCAGTACCAGGAGTTATACAGTACTCTGGGCAAGTCTGTCTTATTCTCTGGGTTATTTGTATTACAGTTTATTTATAAAACTTATTGGTCAAAACTTGGACTCATCCTTAAGAATGTGAAGGAACACTGTTACTAGGGTACCAGGCAAAAACTGACTCTGCTTGGTATAGCAGGAAGCACAGTCATTTCATAAGTCAAGGCTGTAGAAGAAATACCATGGTAGACAACATTCAAGTCTATAATCCATGGTGAGATGTGATTTCACCTATTGAAGTTCTGGTTGTAGAGTAGTAAGTTTTGTTAGGATATTTGAAAGAAAAAAAAACTCCAAATATATTTCCCCCCTTAGGATGATCGTTTAAGAGAACCTCTGCAGAAATTGAAGTTGGCTGTTAGCAACGTCATGCCTGAACAGCTGTTCAAGTACCAAGAGGACTGCCAGGCTCGCAGTCAAGCCAAGTGTGCCAAGTATGTATGTCTGCTTTGGGTTGGTTTTAGAATTTGAGATCACATTTAGCTGTTATTCTCCTTTTTTGTTGTTGCTTTTTGTTTTTGTTTTGTTTTGTTTTCCAGACATGGTTTCTCTGTGTAGACCTGGCTGTTCTAGAAGTCAGATCTATAGACCAGTCTGGCCTCAAACTCAAATCTACCCTGTTGTGCCTCCCGAGTACCAGGACTAAAGGTGTGGACTATCAGTGCCCACTTGGTTGATGATGTTCTTAAGTAGGTGTCATTCTCTAGAAACCATGCATACCATTCAAATGATGTAATTGAGTATTTTAAGTGATGTGTTCCCACTCAACTGCTTTGCTGTCAGACAACTGCTTTGTCTGGTTAGGGTATGGATGTGAACAAAGCAAGAGCTAAGGCAGGCATACTAGGATGTGCCTGTAATAGCAGCATTTACGTGGTTTCAGCAGAGTGATCCAAGTTCCATTCTAGCCTAGGCTTCATACCCTGTCTCAAAAAAAAAAAAAATCAAAAGCTACTGCTGGTTAGGCAGTCATTTCACATGTTGACCGATTTTACTAAGTGGGAAGAACACAGAGTTTGCTCTGAAGAGTGAGCATCTGTACCTCTGATTATAGTTCAGAGACCTTTTTTACTCATCTGCTTCATACTGATTTGAGGTTTACCATGTTATGTGGAAATAGAGCTCCCTGTTTGTTCTGTTTTGAGTAAACATTTGGCTGAGCAACTGATGTATTTAAGGACCAAATGGTTGTGAATTCTGGGTTAAAATTTGGCTTCATAAGTATTATTCATTTTTAAGGTTGCAAGCAGATGAAGAACGGGAAAAAAATGGATCCGAAGATGATGATGATGAGAAACCAGGGAAGCGAGTCATAGGCCCACGAAAGAAATTCCACTGGGATGATACTATTAGGTGAGCTTTGTTAGTCAGTTTTCATCTATAGGCAAAGAGACAAGAAGTGGAGGGCTAGATCAGAAGCAACCAATGGGTCTAAGGAAACTTACTCAAAAAATGCAATCTCAGGGTGTCAGTGTTTGGTCTCCATCTAACACACTTTATCAGCTGTTCTGATGGTGGAGTGAAGTCACTCGGGTAGCATAGAGACAAGCATGTGACATACTTGTGAGAACTGTCTGCTTACTTGTACCCCTTTCAATCTTTGCTCATATGAAGGTATCAAAGGCCATTGTTTCATGGTGGGGGTTGATTGTACTGCAATGAATGATCAATGTTAGAACTTATTTCTCATTGTCTGAATAATTTCGTTATCAGTCCTTATTGCCACCAGATTCGTGTGCTTCAAAAGTACCTGTTTCCAGTCTTACTTTCTATATTTTACACTTTACATTTCTGTGTTAATATATATTTTTAATTTGTTTAGAACTTTGTTATGTAACCTTGTTGAGATCAAATTGGGATGCTATGAGTTAGAGCCAAATAAAAGCCAGTCTGCTGAGGATTACCTTAAATCCTTCATGGAGACAGAGGTGAAGCCACTGTGGCCTAAAGGCTGGATGCAGGCCAGGTAAGAAATATGCCTTCCTAGGTTTTGATGTGTTTTCTTATTTTGTTTGCTGATTCTTAAAGATATATCTGCACATAAACACACATCACATTGATTTTGCTAGGAACTTATATGTTTGGGAGGTGTTGTGGGAGAGTTTGGAGGGAGGAAAGAGAAGGGGGGAATTATAATCTCAAAAATGATTTAAAATAAGAACTTACATGTTCAACATTCTATTAACATATCAAGAGATCTCAAAAAAAACAACTAGTTTTTCGTGTGTGTGTGATTTCAGATCAGCATTTAACAGAACAAGCCTTGTGGAACTAGAAATAAGATAGGTATAACGATGGTTTTTTTTTGTTTTGTTTTTAATTCAAATTTTTTGTTGTTGTTTTTTTGTTGTTTAGGTAATATGGAAAAGGAATGGGAGATGATGGTTATAAAATTGTGGGCTTTTTAACAGATAGAAAGGAAGCCCATGGTGAATTTAGAGCAGAGCTAGATGTGGTGGCACACACTTGTAGCTAGCACTGATGAGAATATATGCAAGGTTGCAGGTTTGAGGCCAGTGTGTACTAGAGAATTCCAGGTCAGCTTGGCCTATGCTGTGAAATCCACCTTCAGAAACAAAAGTTCTGGTCATGGTGGTAATCTCAGTGCATAGGCAGCAGAGGCAAGCAGATCTCTGAGTTCAAAGCCGCTGGGTTTGCCTAGACCTTGCAGCCTTGAACTCAGATCTACTTGTCTCTGCTTCCTGAGTACTGGGATTAAAGTCATGTGCCACCACACCTGACTAGAGGAATTTTAAGAGAATAAGAAAACAAACTTGTCTGTCAACCTATCATCCTTAAAGTAACAGAAATAACCTTTTCTGTTGGTTTGTTAAAACTTGTAAATACATAGAAAGATATAAAACTTTTCAAGAAATACTTTATTGGATAAAGTTACTACTTTTGTTTGGTAAATAAGCAAAAATCAAGTTGTTAGTGATCTTGAGTTCAAGCCTGAGATATAATAATTCATTTGAGGCTAATCTGAACTACATAGGAAGATCCTGTATGCAAAACAAAAACTAAAGCAATTACCATGTTACCTGCTATAAAAAATAATTTTGTCTTTCTAATTTTTCCAGAATGCTTTTTAAGGAAAGCCGGAGTGTACATAATCATCTTACTTCTGCTCCGTGAGTAAATACTGACTCCAGATTTCTCCCGTGTTCATGTTTTGAGTTTTAGTGGGGGTTTTTGTTTTGTTTTTTCAAGACAAGGTTTCTCTATGTAACCCTGGCTGTCCTGGAACTCTGTGTGTTAGACTGACCGGGAACTCAGAGATCCACCTGCCTCCTCCCAAATTCTGGGATTAAAGGTGTGTGCCACCACTTCCTGGTTATGTTACGGTTTTAAGAAACAAAAGTCTTACTACAATGCTCATTGACATGGTAAGACTTCGTAATCTTGTAGGTCATCTCTGTGTTGCCACCCTTTTTCTGTTTGTTTTGTTTTCCAGTTGTTTTGACTGCTGACTTTAGAAACAGTCCCAAGATTCTCTCATAGCCTTCCTAGTCTAGATTGGGTTTCCGCTGTAGGGAGCCATCCAGCGGGGGGCTCAGGTGTACTTCCTCGTTCTTACTGTCTGCATGCGTCCTGCATTGGATGAGCTGACCTCACAAGACACTTCCATATCCATTCCTTCCCTGCCTCGTTCCTTCTCATGCAGTAGTCTTACTTCTGTACACAGCTGGCTATAATGAAAATATAAAGCAGGTTTCTAGATCTGCAAGATGGTTCAGTAGACAAACGTATACACACACACACACACATATCTGAATTGGAGCCCTAGAACCCATGGTGAAAGAAGAAAACCAACTCCTTAAATTTGCCCTCCGATCTCTTATACCCTGCGGCATGTTTCTACCTGTGCACACATATATAGTCGCTCACAAATAAAAACCTCTTAAAAGGCGTTTACACCAGGAATTAAACACAGGTCCAGCATATGCTAGGCAAGCACTCTCCCACTGCTCTACATACCCAGCCCGGTGAAACGTTTCTTTTTTTTTTTTTTTTTTTTTTTTTTTTTTGGTTTTTCGAGACAGGGTTTCTCTGTGGCTTTGTTTGGAGGCTGTCCTGGAACTAGCTCTTGTAGACCAGGCTGGCCTCAAACTCACAGAGATCCACCTGCCTCTGCCTCCCAAGTGCTGGGATTAAAGGCGTGCGCCACCAACGCCCGGCTCGGTGAAACGTTTCTTAAAGAATGAACCTTTACTCTCCTAATGTATAGGAAGATGCCATGTTGTGTTTATGGCTGCTTTGGGGGATACATATTGGTCCACTGGAATGTAGCTCAGTTGGTAGAGTGCTTACCTACCATGCATAACGCCCTTGTTTCCGTTTCCAGCATTATTGAAATATAGAAAGTTAGTGCATTATAATTTGCTAAGCACTTTAGTGTACTCTTAATTGTGTTAAGATACCAGATTATCATTTTGAGGACGACATTATAAAACTCTTCCACTCCTTCCCTTTTATAATAGCTAGAAGAAATGGGTGTTTTTAGTTTCAGACAGGACAGAGATGTATGACTGTTTCAGTTATTGTTCTTGCTTTTCTCTGAAGACAGAGTCTTGCTTTATTGCACACTTTGGTCGTAGATTCCTGGCCTCCGAGTGCCCCTGCCTCTGCTTCTTCTCAGGTAGCTCAGGTCCTGAGTACATGCCACTGTCTGACTCCCCTCCGTGCTGGGCATTGAGCCTAGGCTTTTAGACCTGCCAAACAAGTGTTCTGCCGTTGAGCCTGGGCCCTCGTCCTCTCCTTGGCTTTTTAAAAATAGTTCCATTGTTACTGCTACCTGTGTGTATTGTTTTATTTTCGTTAGGGTTTTTGTATTGTTTGGTTTTTTCACCAGAAAGCAGGATAGGTAAATATGGCTGTCTTAATGCTATAATGACTTCCTCCCAAAAAGGCCTAGAGAATTACTGTTGCCTTCCTGAAACTCCATTTTGGCAGGTGTTTCATGCTGGTTCCTAAATGTTCAAAGTTTTTTGTTTTTTTTTAATGTAGGCCTGGCTGGCCTCAAACTCACTATGTAGATCAGGGTGACCTCAAACTTACAAAGCTTCCTTCTTGCTTTTTACTAAATTAATTTGTTATCATTGTAAGAATTTTTTTATTTTTACAATTAAAAATAATTTTCAATAAAACCTTAAAATTGTTAAAGTAAAATGCCATTAATAACCCATTATCCTGATTTGAGTATGGCATAATTGAAGCTGTTTTCCTACAAAAAGTGAATTCTTATCAATCCATTGAAATGAGTTTCCTTAGGCTAACCTGTTTTGAGTCATTTTATGTTTTATATGTGTTTTTTTTTCTATCTAGATTTCTTAGTAATTATTTGGCCTTTCAGTCAATCTGAATTAGAAAAATATTGTTAGCTGTCCCCATGTGAGCTAAGTAGTTTCTTCCTTCAAAGAGCTTTCCAAATAATGGAAAAACTTAGGGTTAGCCTGCTGTTAATTCCTAACATATAACTGCTTCTGAAATGACCTTCATTTTAATCTTTTATCTTAGGGCAAAGAAAAAGGTGATTCCTGCATCAAAACCCAAAGTCAAGGTAAGAGTCCAATACATTTGTAGTTGTTCCTAGTTGGTGAGTGTTGGGGTAGATTCTTAAAGAGAAAAGGGCTCGTGATGTTTAGCAAAGATTACTAGGTGCTATGCTGAGTTGCTTGTTTTCAGCTTCATAAAAGTCCATTTGAGCAGTAGATTGTTCTGGAGCTGTGGGCATTTGCATTCGTTAGTTCTACATAGAAATATTGGATGAAAATGTAATAAATACTTTTAAAAACATAATTGAATGGTTGGGAGTGGTTGCATACCGAAGAAACTGGTGGATCTCTAAGTTCAAGGCCAACCATGGTTACACAGGTAAACCCTGCCCTCTACCCCCAACAAAATAGCTGAAATTATAAACACAAAGGAGCGATTCCAGAGTCGGAAAGGTGCTGCCATGTTGACGGTTTGTTGCTGAGGCCTTCATTGTCCTTGGAGAGACTGCCTGTTACATTATGGTTTCTTTTCACTGTTTTCTCAAAATAGCAGGTAGGGTTTCTTGGGGGTTAGTACATCCGAAAGGGAAAAGAACCCCATGTAAAGCAGGGCCTTGAAAGAATAACATCTTTAGTTAATGGTGGGGGAGGGGAGCATCTATCCATCAGCAGAAAGAATTCTGTCTTGGCCATGGTTTCTAGATTGGAGAAAGACAGTCCTGCTGAAAATGTCCCCTTTGTTAGGAGTTTAATTTGTATGACTTGCACAAAATGGCTGAGTAATTTACTGATTTAGCAATGACCCAGGGCAGCAGGCAAAAACAGATTCTGCACTGTGTAATGTCCCACATCTTAAGCTTACCTATTTATAGCACAAGTCAAACATACAAGCTGTAGGTAGATCTCAGACTGAGCATATACTCGGCATGCCAGAGGCCCTGGGCATAATGCCAGTACCACAAAAAAGTCCCCAAAACAGACAAAAAAATAACAAAACCCGTGCTGTCTGCTGTCTGAACTATAGAATATATAAGGGGATTTATTAGTACAGGTTAGAGTCAGTGGACATCAGAAACAATTAAATCCACCACAAATAGGGGGTAGATTTGTTAGTTTAGAACATAAAGTACCTGGGCGTGTGTGGTGATGCATACCTATAATCCCAGCACTCTGGAGTCAAAGGCAGAAGAATTGTAAGTTTGAAGCCAGTCTCAAACATAACTCCAGGCCACTCAGGGAGACATAGACCCTGTCTCAACCTGCTCCTACCTGCAAGAAAAAAAGAACATAAAATAATTTCTTAAACATTTATTTATTATTATGTATATGGTGTTCTGCCTCCATGTATGCCTGCAGGCCAGAAGCAGGGACCAGATCTCATTACAGATGGTTGTAAGACACCATGTGGGTGCTGCGAATTGAACTCAGGTCCTCTGGAAGAGCAGCAACCAGTGCTCTTAACCGCTGAGCCATCTCTCCAGCCCCACACAAAATAATTTTAACACTGCTTAGGAGAAGCTGGATTGTGAGCACTCAGGAGGTAGAGACAGGAGTATCAGAAGTTCAAACAAAGACTGGTCAGCAAAATCCTTGGCTTGATAAGGAGTTGGAGGTTAACCTGGAATACATGAGCTTCTGCCTCCCCACAGTAGTTAAGATAGACACGTTGTTCTGGTAATACTACCCCACTTCAGTCTTACACCTTTCTAGTGATGCAGATTTAGTAATAGTGTCAACACATGTAAGCACATTCATCATTTTAACCAGCAGTGTGGCCCTCATGCGATCATACCCACGCTTATATAGGTAGTAAGGCCTTCAAGACTGAGTTCTTAGGAGAAAGGTTAGGACAAGTGCTATGGAAGTTGGAGTGACAGCATTCTTAACAGCTTACTTACTGTAACACCATAGGAGGTGATGGTAAAGACCCTTCCTGTTCGTTCTGTCCCCACTATGCTGAAGGTAAGTGAGAGGGCTGTATGCATCAGTATATAAGACTCTGGGTTTGGGACCTTTTCTTTCTAAGGAACTAATAGAGCCTCTGAAATGATGACTTAATATGTGTAGCTTTTGTCTTTGTATTAAACATGACATTAGTCTAGTACTTTATATTACTCCCAACAAATAAATGGTTGCTCTTAACTTGCTAATGTTTTTCTTTTTACTCTTTTGAATATTTTTAACTATAGTTCCTTAACTCTTCCTTGAATTTTAAGAAAATAATTTTCGCAGACAGCATTCACCTAGATGTTTAGCACTTTAATTACTAATACCTTTGTTTTCTTAGGACAGAGCCTTACTCATAGGAGCCACTAAACACATGTTGGATAAATTACGAGTCATAATGAGTGGAAATTTGACTAACTGTGGTAGAATAATTCGCTAGTTTCCCTGTGTACTGGTGGTGGGTAGCTGTAGACATTCAAGGAAGCAGGGAATGGAGTCAGCATCCCAGGAAACTATTACACAGAAGTTGTAGCTTTGATAAAGGGCAACATGGCTCCGAGCACCAGGAGAATGAAAGCTCCTGAGACGCTGGGATTGAAGTGGGTTCTGTATGTTTGATGCAAGTGTAGCTCTTGAGTGGTGTCTCCCTCAGCCAGTGCCCTTGAGCCCCACTTTCACAGCCTGCTAAGATGACTGGAAGGACTTGGTAGCGTGCTGTGCAGCACACTGTGTTACCAGGAGGGCTGGTTCGCAACATGGGTTTGGTTTTAGCAGTCTTCTCAAGATTTCTAGCTTTTGTTTTTTAAGAGTAAAAAAAAAGAGGTCCAATACAGTGGTGTACACCTTTAATACCAGCACTGTGGAGGCAGAGGCAGGTAGATCTTTGTGAATTCAAGTTCAGCCTGGTCTACATAGGGAGTTCCAGGACGGACAGGGCTATAAACAGACCTGTGTCAAAACAGCCAAAAGATAATTCTAGTCATAAAAAGTTCTTAATCTTGTAAAAACTAAGTTTAAATTTGTAATTAACTCTTTGTATTTTTTCCAATATAATGCTATTTATGCTAGGAATGTAGCCCAAAAAAAGACCCAAAGGCTCCTGTATCTTTGGCTTCAGTTGGTCCCTCCACAAGCTCCAGCACACCCATCGTTGTTTCGGCCAGCTCGAGCTCAGCACCAGCCCAAGAAACCATCTGCCTGGATGACTCCTTGGATGAAGATCTTTCTTTCCACTCCTCTTCACTGGATCTTGTATCTGAAGCTTTAGCCGTCATCAACAGCGGCAACAAAGGCCCCTCGGTTGGCTCAAGGCTCAATGTGCCAACTGCAAAGCCTCGTCCAGGCCTGAGAGAAGAAAAACTAGCAAGTATCATGAGCAAGTTACCACTGGCCACTCCCAAAAAGCTGGATCCTACTCAGACTGCACACTCATCAAGTCTTATTGCTGGTCACACAGGGCCAGTACCAAAGAAACCCCAGGATTTAGCTCACACTGGCATTTCTTCAGGCCTTATTGCTGGTTCTTCAATTCAGAACCCTAAAGTCTCCTTAGAGCATTTGCCAGCCAGGCTACTGCAGCAAGGATTGCAAAGGTCCAGTCAGATACATGCTTCTTCCTCTTCACAGACTCATGTCTCCTCCTCCCAAGCCCAAGTTGCTGCCTCCTCTCATGCCCTGGGAACATCAGAGGCCCAAGATGCTTCTCCGTTAACACAAGCAGCAAAGGTGCAGCAGCACTCAGCTGTCCAGCAGAACTACGTGTCTCCATTACAGGCCACCATTAGTAAATCACAGACCAACCCAGTGGTGAAATTGAGTAATAACCCCCAGCTTTCCTGTTCGTCCCAGCTGCTCAAGACTTCAGATAAGCCACTGACGTATCGCCTCCCTTTGTCTACCCCATCACCTGGAAATGGGTCTCAGGGGCCCCACCCCCTGGTTTCTAGGACAACACCAAGTACCACTACCTCTAGTAACTACTTAGCCAAGGCTATGGTGTCACAAATCTCCACGCAGGGTTTCAAATCTCCCTTCTCAATGGCTGCATCTCCCAAACTTGCCGCGTCTCCCAAACCTGCCACGTCTCCCAAGCCTTTGCCCTCACCTAAGCCTTCTGCATCACCCAAGCCCTCTTTGTCAGCTAAGCCTTCAATATCAACTAAACTTATTTCTAAATCCAACCCAACTCCCAAGCCTGCTGTATGCCCAACTTCCTCCAGTCCAAACACACTAGTAGCCCAGAGTAGCCACTCCACCAGTACCAACCCCGTCCATAAACAGCCCAGTGGAGGAAACATCAGCAGACAGTCTCCCACTCTGAATCTGTTGCCCTCAAATCGCACTTCTGGCCTTCCACCTACAAAGACTCTTCAGGCCCCTTCTAAACTAACAAACTCGTCGTCCACTGGAGCTGTGGGGAAGAGCAGCTTGGGTGGACTTCCCATGAATGTGCCTGCCAGCAGAGGCAGCAACCTTAACTCGAGTGGAGCTAATAGGACTAGTCTGTCTGGGGGGACAGGAAGTGGAACACAGGGTGCTACTAAACCGCTGTCTACTCCACATAGACCAACCTCTGCCTCAGGGTCTTCGGTGGTAACAGCCAGTGTGCAGGTATGTATGTACTGTGCATTTATGTGATAAATGTAAGCTTTCTGAGTCACCTTAATGACTGTCCATGTGACATATACAACATAGAGAATGTGTTTATACCAGGCTGATAACGGCTGTGACCATGGAATGTTCTCAGTGTTGGCATCATAGTGCTGGGAAAGGTCTTCGTTGGAATGTGCATTTTTATTTTCAGCCAAGTATGCTAGACTATGTGTGTGGTGCCATAACACCTGTAGTCCTAGAACACGGAGGAGTGAAGTAGGAAGAACTCAAGTTGAAGGCCAGCCTGGGCTACATACAGGGAATTTTAAGCTAACCTGGGCTTCATAGCAAAGTCTTACTAAAAATAAAGTAAAACTTTAGAAGGTAGGATGGGAAGTTGAGGGTGTTAGCTCAGGGACAGTCCCCCTAGCACATGAAGAATCCCAGGTTCAATCCCCAATATCAGGGAAAGATTCACATTTACCTTAACGTTTGTTCTGGAAAACAAAACTTGAGGATATATTTAAAATTTTATCTTTTAGCCAGACAAGCTGGTGTACCCCTACAATCCCTCCTCTTGAGAGGTGGGAGTCTGATGATCAGAAGTTCCCAGTTATCCTTTGTTACACAGCAAGTTCAAGGCCAGCTTAGGCTGATGACACCCTGTTGAAAAAAAAATCTCCAAAAGCTCTCTTATTAAAAGCAAGAACAACGTATTAGTGCAGAATTTCACATATACTCAATTGTCTCCCTACTTTTCTTTATAAATGTGTATGGAGGCATGATTTGCATGTTGGGTGCAGTGCTTAAGAAGGCCAGACGAGGGCTGGAGAGATGGCTCAGAGATTAGGAGCACTGGTGCTCTTCCAGAGGTCCTGAGTTCAATTCCCAGCAACCACATGGTGGTTCAGAACCATCTGTAATGAGATCTGCTGCCCTCTTCTGGCCTGCGGACATACATTCAGACACTTCTGGCCTTCCACCTACAATAATAAATAATTTTTTTTTTTTTTTGGTTTTACGAGACAGGGTTTCTCTGTATTGTTTTGGAGGCTGTCGGTCCAGCCCAGCCTCAAACTCACAGAGATCCGCCTGCCTCTGCCTCCCGAGTGCTGGGATTAAAGGGGAGCGCCACCACCGCCCAGCCTAAATAAATAAATCTTTAAAAAAAAAACACACACACCAGAAGAGGGCAGCAGATTCCCTGGAGCTGGTGTTACAGGCAGGTGTCAGCCCCTGGGTGGTAGGAACCAAGTCCTGGTCCTCTGAAAGACCAGCATGTGCTCTTAACCATGGAGCCGGGTTTGTTTGTTTGTTTGTTTGTTTGTTTGTTTGTTTAATCAAATTTATGCATTTGTATTATTTCTCTAGGCATTTATCCTTTCATGTATAATTCTGTCCACTTAATGTTGGAATGCCTATATACCATTTTCCCAGTTGGTCAATTTTTAGTTTAAATTTGCCTATTAGCCAAGGACTCTTTGCTAGAAGGGACATAAGTGGTATTAACTTTTCCATTGCTTTTGCATACATAATCACTGCTTTCTGTGTTGTAGCAGTTACAACAGGGTAGACTTCCTGGCTCACTTGGTTCCAAGTCCAAATTCCTTGCTTAATATTTAGTATTATACAAAAGTCTGAGACTACGTTGGTTATTTTGTTCTCCTGTTTAATGTTTTTTGTCTGCTGAAATGGCTAGAAAATTTACCTTCAAACCCCAGTATTCTTAGCTAAAGCTCTGTTTATCTAATTTTCTTTCTTTCTTTCTTTTTTCTTGGTTTTTTGAGATAGGGTTTCTCTGTATTGTTTTGGAGGCTGTTCTGGAACTCACTCAGTAGACCAGGCTGGCCCCAAACTCACAGAGATCCGCCTGCTTCTGCCTCCTGAGTGCTGGGATTAAAGGCGTGCGCCACCAATACCCAGCTTGTTTACCTAATTTTCATTGTTTTGTACCTAGAACATAATGAGCCTCAGACCTGGCTATTTTTTCAACTCAAGAATATTTTACTCTTGGCCAGTGGGGTGACTGAATAGGTAAAGGCACTTGCTGCCAAGCCTAATGACTCAAGTTTGATCCCGGAACCCACATGGTAGGAGGAGAACAGATGCCCAAAAGCTGTCCTATGGCCTACACACGAACCATAAGCACAGTTCTCTCAACCCAAGAATAAATTAATCTTAATTTGTTAGAAATCAAAAACAAAGACTATGTTATTCCATGTTTGGTGATGGTTTCTGAGTCCGTGCTGTGTTTAGACAGTGGGCATTTGTATTGAGGCTGGACTGGCCAGGACCCTGCTGCACTCCTACCTGTCGCTGATGCTGAGATTCCTAGCATGTGCTGCCACACCCCACTTAGCTTAGGGTTATTTTAAAAGTGTGTTTTTTTTAAAGACAGGATCTCACTCTGTAGCCCAAGCTAGCTTCAGACTCGTAGCTGCCTTCCTACTGTAGCCTCCCACACTGGGTGACAGCCTTAGACTCCCACATCTGACTGGCTGTTCATCTGTTTCTTCTGCATCACCTCACCTGCTGTTCATTTCTCTACCTTCCTACTGTAGCCTCCACATTGGGTGACAGCCTTAGACTCCCACATCTGACTGGCTGTTCATCTGTTTCTTCTGCATCACCTCACCTGCTGTTCATTTCTCTACCTTCCTACTGTAGCCTCCCACACTGGGTGACAGCCTTAGACTCCCACATCTGACTGGCTGTTCATCTGTTTCTTCTGCATCACCTCACCTGCTGTTCATTTCTCTACCTTCACTGTGTTTTGAGGCTTTCGGGGACTTGTGCTTCATGTTAATGATGTGGCTCCTTTAGTACTAATTCCCCCCTGGAAGTAATACACATTCACTGAGCAAATTTACAGTCAGGAAAATAAAAGTACCTGTGCTCACCACCTTATATATAGGGTGTTTTAAGGCTGAAACTGCCTTATACAATATTATCTTATAAATACCTTTAAAAGTATGTATTTTATGATGTACAAGTTCTTGGGTCCTAAATCTTTGAGAACATGACTCTGGTCTGTGAAATGAGTTGCCCAAAGCAATGGTTGCTTTAACTTCATGCTCTCCTATTTTTGTGGAGTAGGAATTTAATGAAAAGCTTTCCCCTTGCTATTTGCAGAGACTTCCTGCATGCAGTATAGTGTGAGACTTGGTATTGAATACATATTTAATAATACCAAGTTATTCTTCCACTGACATGGGTTCAGGGTTGTATACTAATGTGGAACAAATTCATTTTACTAGCACTTCAATGGCTGAAATCCATATTGATGTTTTGTCTCTGTTGAAAGAAAGCCTTTTCTCATCATTAGGAAATAAAGCTGAGTGGGCGTTCTTCACCTGCAGCCAAGCACCAAGAATCACTTGAGCCCATAAGTTCAAGTCCAGCTTAGGCAGTATAGTGAGACCGTATCTCAAAGAGAGGGCAAGGCAAATGGGGAGACGTAAACAACCAAGCTCAAACACACTGATAATGGGGCTTCTCTGCTAGTTATTCATTATAGGTAAGATCTGGGAATTAATCTTCATTACTGTTCATATTTGCTAAAAAGATGATCCTTTCTAAAATTAACCTTCAGTTTGATCAAAGGGAAAAAATGGAATTCTAACAAAAGTGGTAGTTCCTGACCTCATACTTTCTTACTGTCCACGCTTTTGTTCTTTCTGAGACAATGCCTTGAGGAAGGCCACTCCTTCCCCTGTGCTGGTGTTGTAGGCATGCGCTACATGTGCAGCTAGCAAAAACAATGACAGCCAGGTGTGTTGTGACTCACCTTTAATCCCAGGCAAGAGCAGGTGGATCTCTGTGAGTTTGAGTCCAGCCTAGTCTTGATAGTGTATTACATACCAGTCCAGGCTGCATAGAAAGAACGAACGATACACTCTTAATTTATGAATGTTACCATTATGTTATCTTGTGACTTCCATTATAAAAAATAAGAATTAGAGTTGTCATGTAGCTCTACCGTTTTTGCTGAAATAGTAATCAGATTTTTGGTTAAATCTCCCATGAAAATAAGTATTGTCTTTGTTCCACTATCAGAGTTATGACTTCATTTACTTTCTTATTATACAATGATAGGGGAGTTTTCTCTACTTTAAAATTGGTTTTGTGTTTTTTTACTTCATTGTCTCCAAGTGTCTGGTTAGATTCTCCTTTGCCTTTCTTCACCTCTAAAGTCTGCCTGGCCATCTTGTATTTGCTTATCATTTATTCTAAAAGGAGCCATTCACTGTCGTAAGAGTAATTGTGTGTTCCAGACAAGTTCCTTCCCTGTTCTGTTCTACTCCCAGGTTGCTGTTACACTTGGAAACTCCAAAGTTCCTGCTGCTTTGATGTGTTTCTCTCTGTCTTACTGGTCTGACTCAAGAAAAGTCAACAGTTGATTAGTGTCACATCACCTCTGTCACTGGGTATTTTTGTTATATGGCATAGCATCTCTGAAGTCTTGTAGATGTCTGGTGAGCCCAGCACTTAACGCAGATATTCCTCCATGAGGGTGTACATTTGGGGTCTGTTCTTAAGAAGCCTGTACCTCCTTTCTACAAGGCATCTGCAGTGCTAGCTGAAGCCCAGTGGGAAGGGTGGGTCGTCTACCCAAGGCTGAAAGTTCAAATATTCCTGAGTCCAGATTGTTAGCTCCATCTACTTTCCTTCCAAAACATTCTTCCCCTTTCTTGCCCTTCCACTTACTAATCTGGGATGACCCTGTATTTGCCACTCAGTGATTCTAAAGCCATCATTCAGTGCTGTGGGCACTATGCGCCAGGCTCTCTACTATGTGCTGGGCAACCGGGATGAATAACTAACCCTGCTCTTCTCGTGGAACGTATCTTCTAGACAAGCTCAACACCAGCTTTATTTTAAAAAGGAAGGAAGGAAGCTTCTGCTGTGAAAAAAAAAAAGTTAAAAATTGAGTATTGCTCACATAAGGGACCACAAAAGGCCTAATACAGGAAATACTATTTGATTTGAGCTGAGAGTTGAAAAAAACGGGTCCAGCCATGTGTAGAGAAGACAGGAAATTGGTATGGGCTAGAGGAAGCAGCAGTATAAAACGGCGTGTTCAGAGCCTGAGGTGAAACCCGGTGTGTGCTCAGTGACCAAACTATGGGGATAGCCCTACAGAATGTGGAATGGACCTAATAAGAGACGGTGAGGATTTAGGGTTTTACTCTGTGAAGAAAGGAAGCTGTTGGAAGGTCTCAATCAGGAGAACGTATGGGAACATTTCAGAATATTATTCTAGGTGAATGGGAAACAGCTGTCTCACCAAACAGATGCCTGCCAGAGAAAAGTAGTTTCAATCCATATTTCTTTCTCAAGATGGAGAAGGCATAGAAGGCTTGTCTGATTATGGACACTATATATTCTGCTTATCTAGCTAATATTGACAATTTCTCTATGCTCCCAAATGTTATAAAGCAGTGGGATTTTCTACTTCTGAAAATGGCTCTTAGAGAAACTCCTAAGTGTTAGTGTAACACTGAGGTCACCTGGCATTCTAATTTAGTCATAAAACTGGATTTGGAAAATTCTTAATAAAACAGTAGTTGTAGCATATTTTTTACATTGCTGGTATTCAAGTTATTTTTAAACATTGGAGCTTGTCCTGATTTATCTTCTCCATCTGTTGTAATGCTTCAGTTAGACTCTTGCAGAAAGGCTTTAATACTCTTTGGTATTATTTACTGTTTTTCACTGAGGGAGTCCATTCAGGGCAAAGTCTTGGAGACTGTCTTGAGACTACAATAGACTTAAGTTTAAAAGGAAGGATCCATTCTGGCTTACTATTTTTAAAAGATGTACTTATTTGTTTATGAGCGTTCTGTCAACTTTATGCCAGGAGAGGGCATCTGACCCCAGTAGAGGTGGTTGTGAACCACCATGTGGTTGTAGCAATGAACTCAAAACTTCTAGGCAGAGTGGCCAGTGCTCTTAATCACTGAGCCATCTCTCCAGTCTCCATTCCTGATTACTTTCAAACTAATACAGGGTCCTTTTTATCCTAGTCACTTTAAAACGGTAGTGTTTCTAACTGGGTATTTTTTTTTAATATGTACCCACTGTGTATCATAAATGTCATAGTAAAGACAACTCTTCAAAGTGTCTTTTTTTTTCCCTTTTTTTTTTTTTTTTTTTTTTTCTTTTTCAAGGCAGGGTTTCTCTGTGGCTTTGGAGGCTGTCCTGGAACTCGCTCTTTTAGACCAGACTGGTCTCAACTCACAGAGATTCACCTGCCTCTGCCTCCCGAGTGCTGGGATTAACCTCATGCACCGCCACCACCTGGCTTCAAAGTGTCTTTTAACATAAAGTGTTGAGGGGCTGGAGAGATGGCTCAGCGGTTAAGAGCACTGACTGTTCTTCCAGAGGTCCTGAGTTCAATTCCCAGCAACCACATGGTGGCTCACAACCACCTTGAATGAGATCTGGTGCCCTCTACTGGCATGCTGAAGATTGTATACATAATAAATAAATAAAATATTTTTAAAAAAAAACATAAAGTGTTGAGGATTGGTTCTTAGGTGTCAGGAGAAAGTTGGGTGAAGAAGAAACGCCTTTAGTTTATGAGACCTGCAGACCAAGGTTCTAGTCCCAGGCTCCTGGCAAAGAAGTGCTTGTTGATTGCAAGATGTGTGGGGGTTGGGAGGGGTGGTTTCAGTTTTGGCAATGTCTGGTTAGTTGGGTGTTGGAAATTCAAGTGGTGTTACTTACTAAACTCTGATTCACAGACTAGAATTGAGGTGACAGGTCAGAAATGTCAGTGATGACACAGGAGAGGAGCAAAGGGAGGAAATGGAGAAGATGGCTTCTGGAGAGTACCTCGCTTTTCGTTCAGCGGTGCTATAGACCCTTCAACATGTCACATATATTTTCTTACATGCTAAGAAATAAAACCTTTGACTCTTATACATGGTGGCATCTGAGGCATGCCTGTAATCACATACTTAAGAGCTGAGGCTGGGAGACTCAGATTTCAAGGTTTGCTTGTATTAAAATTCCAGACTAGCCTGAGATACACAATGAGACACTGTTTGAAAAACAAAGATAAAACATCAACCCTTAATTAATGAGGTATTTGGGTAGAAATAGTACATTACCAACAATATCTAATGTGTCTTAACTTTAAAGAAACTTTTTGGAAGTTCTAGCTGGCCTGAAACTTGCTATGTAGACCAGGCTAGCCTCAAACTCACAGAGATCTGCTGGCCTCTACCTCCCGAGTGAGGATTAACGGTGTGTGACACCACCACTGGCTATCTCTCCTGTCTTTTAAATTACAAAGAATGAAGTTCTCTTGACCACAGTTAGAACTATAGACTTTTTAGCGGAGGAAGCATTACAGGGCACACCAGTGTCAATGGCAGGCAGGACTGTAGTGTGGAATGTTTGCTTCTAAGAAAGCTGAGTGCGTTAAATAGACGCTTGATAATGATAAGTGCCCATCGTGAAGAAATGCCAGAAGTGGAAAAATCAGTTAATTGTTGCATTATTGTCATTGGAAGGATTGAATTAGCCCAGAGAGAATATTTAAATAGTTCCCCATGAAGCTCAACCAACATTAGCAGATTTCTGATTCATCACTCAGGGCCTCAAAGCTCACATATAGAAGTGAGAAAGCACTTTATACTTAGGAAGTCTGATTTCAGAACAGTGATGCAGTGGAAACCAGCTTCAGCAGTTCTGGAGAAACTATAGATAAGATGGAAAATGGAGACTTGTCCAGTAAACTTGATTTTCAAAAAGGGATACAAATAATATTAGATTATTACTGGGAGTTGGAAAAGATCCAGGAATAACAGTGGAATTGTAGGAAGAAAGAGAAAGCGTCTGTGGAGAGGGCAGTGTTGTGGTACAGGCTGGGCAGTGGTCAGCTCGGGGAAGCACAGGTGGGGGAGGCCAGGGTGAAGAGCTGGCTGTGAGGGCTCGTCTGCTGCAGCACTTGTAAACCTTGTTCCAGGAGAGAACCTGCAGAGCCCCGTGACTCACGTCTGTGGCTTTGCAAGGAGAAGTAGAGGAGCAGTGTTAGACTTTGAGGCTTACATGCAAGAGTAGGCATTAAACGGGTGAAAGGCAGACTGCAGTGTTGTTGGAGCTGTATATATAAACATTTTCAAATGTTATTTGCAGATTTTCAGAACCATTATTGGTAACTCACTGGGTTATGTTTTCCACCTCAGTGTTAATTTTTCTCTCATTTGTTAGAACAGATAAAGACACAATCTTGCATCCATGAAGATGTTAAATCAATTTAGGTACAGTGCTTTATTTCTTATCTATTTTGACCCCTGGTTTCTACACAGTCCACAGCAGGAGCATCATTATTGGCTAATGCCTCACCTCTGACTCTCATGACATCACCTTTGTCTGTAACAAATCAAACTGTGACTCCTTTTGGGATGCTGGGTGGCCTTGTTCCAGTGACCATGCCCTTCCAGTTTCCCTTGGAGCTCCTTGGCTTTGGAACGGACACAGCTGGAGTGACAACCGCCTCGGGATCTACCTCAGCCGCTTTCCATCACAGCCTGACTCAGAGTAAGTGGGGCTCTGTTTCAGTGAACAAACGGACCGTCCACACCACGTTTCCGTTGTAATGAAATATGGAGAAGAAAGTCAATGTGGGGGATTTTCTTAGCATGCTTACGACTGTATTTACATAAGTCAACTTATGCAGTGTTAGAAAGCTCTTGGAACCGAGGCTTACGCTGGCGTTAGATAAGACAGATTCTGAGTTTGAGCTAAGGGGCTCATGTCTTAAAGATAACTGACAAGTCTGTTTTCCTCTCAGATTTACTAAAGAGTTTACAGCCAGGAACTCAGCACGCCACAACACTTCCCCACTCACCTCTGCCTACACACTTACAGCAAGCTTTTCATGGTAAGCAGGATGCTTATTTGTATTGTTTATGAATGTGAATAGATGCTAAGTTTTCTTCTAACAGTATGACTAATCAAAATGTTGGCGGGGCAGTTTTCATTTGACTGCATCCTCAGTGGCAACAAACACTTTTAAGAGAAAGGAAAGGGATAAATGAGATCTGCTAGACATGAAGGGAAAGGATTTTATTATGCATGCATGCTAACCATGGAGTCATAAAATAATTAACCAACGTCAGACAGAAGTTGACAAGAAGGCTTAGCAGGTAAAAGCACTTGAGTTCTGTCCTCAGAATCCACAAAAAGAGGTGAGGGGACCAACCCCACAAAGTGCTCTCTCACTTTACATGAGCCCTGTCTGCATGCACACACGTTGTTTTGAAGTTAGAGTCACTGAATGCTCTTACAGAGGACCAAGTTCAGTTCCCAGCATCCACATGGCAGCTCATAACCGTCTGTAACTTTAGAAGTATGATGCCCTCTTCTGGCCTCCATGGACACCAGCCAGGCACATACATGATGCATATGCATACATACAGGCAAAACACCTGTATACATACAATTAAAACTAAAATAAACTGTCTTTATACTGGTTTACTCTTAAGCATAGCGCAGAAATTGGAGCTATGCATCAGTATGTATGCTGTCATTCATCTCATGATCATTCCTGTGGTCAGCTGCCAAGACTCATCCTTGAGAGAAGGAAAATACCCCCTACACACCTTCTTTCTCTTTGGTTTGGGTATATTCCTGTTCTGTAATCCAGTGGAGACATGAGCCCTTGGTGGATGGCATGAATGTGACCACCTATAAGGGAGTAGACAAACAGCCCTTGGTGCTCAGAAGGCCCCAGAGTTCAGCTCCATGGGAACTGTCTTCTTACTTGGCCAACACCACTCTTCCAGAACAAGAAAAAGAAGACTAAGTAGTTTCCAAATAACTAAAGTTTAAAGTTTAAAACTTTACATTTAAAAATGCAATATAAGACATTAAACTTGAGTTTGGATTTTAAATTGTAGAATTGCCAGTTTGAAAAATGTATACCATCAGTTCTCTTACCTTCCACTGAAGTGTGTGTGTATGTGTGTGTGTGTACGTGTACATCATACATACACACACACACACAGTTTTTTTTCCCCAGTCCATTATACTGAATATATGTTCTTAATGGATGTCCTATGGGAATCTAATAAAAATAGTCTCATCTGGTAAATGGTTGAAAGTAAGAGCTCATTAGTGTTTATTCTTTTTTGGTTTTTCGAGACAGGGTTTCTCTGTGTAGCCCTGGCTGTCCTAGAACTCATTCTGTAGACCAGGCCTCGAACTCACAGAGATCCACCGGCCTCTGCCTCCCAAGTGCTGATATTAAAGGCATGACCATCGATGCCAGCTAATGTTTATCCTAATCTTATCTAAAACAGAAATCAAAAAAGTTTTCTTTGTTTTGATTTCCAGAGACGTCTCCCTGTGCAGACCTGCCAGGCCAGGAACTTACTTGATAGGTCATGCTGGCCTTGAACTCATTGTGTGTCATGTGCCACCAAGCCTGGGTGGCACACATACTAACTACTTTGGGCTCTACAGTTTCTATAATCTTTTTTTACAACTATATGACTTTATCATTGTAATATAAAGTAACCGCAAATGATTTATAAGCAAGTGAGTAAAACTGACTTGCGATGAAACTATACTAACAAAAACAGATGGTAGGCCAGATTTGGCCATGGGCCATGCTACACTAAACTCTAGTATAAAGAATTTCACAGTCTATATAATAGAATTATTTTATTTTGATAATTAACCAAAGTTACTTTGAGCAAAATCCTATTTTAATAGTACCTTACTATTTTATAAATTTGGTTATTCCATTAATCAAATCATTTCTCTCTACAGTACATAATGTATCGATAACATATCTTACTATGAATGAAAAGGGCCCTAGTTATTTGATAGAACTGTTAATATAACTTTTAACTTTTTTTTTTAATGTTTTCCAAGATACTTGGATATGACATGAGTGAATCTGGCCATGTGACTTAGGATCCCCATTCATTCCTTTTCCCTTGAAGAGTTTCCCTTTCTTGTCCTTTTTTCTCAGACCTGGCTTGTCATTGGGTCCTCGTTTTCCTTACTAGGGCTCTGAACTTACAGAGATTTTATGTTCTGTTGGCCTCTGGGTCATTGGGTCCTTCTCTTGCCTGGGTAACCCCCTTTCTCTCTCCTTCCAGTTATCTTAGAAGTATTTGGCTAAGGATCACATAGAGTGGTTACATATTTTATGTAAATAGTGAAGGCCCACAGCATAGTAGATAGAGAAACTATGCTGCTGCAAGGCTAGGACCTAAACAAAGATACATATATATAGTTGGACTTTCTTCACTACCAATGTGATGTGTTTGTAATTCTTGGGAATTATCATATGTCATACTATGGCAAAGTATTTAATTTCACTTACAAGAAAATAAAATTGACCTAGTCTTCCAAAAGAATCAAAAGACTTGGTAGGTCCCTTGAAGGTGGGCATTGTGTCATTGGTCCCTCCATAACCCAGCATTGGACATGGTTATGTCCATGGTTAAACACCTGCTGAAATAGTTTTTATATAGTTTTCAGTCACTGAGTTTCTATGTCTTATATTTAATCAACTTCTATAATGTTATCACCATGTGAAATAAGAGTTATCTTTTTAGAAATGTAATTCACAATAAACTGATTCTTCTTGATTTTTCTTTTTCTTTCTTTTGTTTTCTTTTTTACAACATGCCAACCCATATCAATTTAACATTTCTTTTCTCAGATGGAGGCCAAAGTAAAGGGGACACTAAGTTACCACGGAAATCTCAGTGACTTCCCAGCAATCAAGAGGAATCATTTGGCTGGCTGTTGGGACCTACCTGATGGGAAAGTCTTACGTGGTCACAGGGCTGCTGTTTCTGTCGATGTTTACATTCTCGTCCCAAGCACTGTGGTGAGGAGGAAAAGGAAAGAAAATGTTACTTGAGCAAAACCAGGTGCAGGAGGAAGAAATGCTTTTGTGCAAAATTAGTGACCTTTGGTCTCTTAAAGCTCCCATGTTAACCTGCTTCAAAGAGACTCAGCTGTCAAACCCACAGAAGTATCAATTTGATTTTTTTTAACCTGGGGGAGAAAGAAGGAAGTTGAGAGGATTTGGGTAAATGGTCATCCATCCCGGGGGTTGGATCTGAACACTCTACATATAAGTGCATAATAAAAACAACTAAAAGTAGAATTAGCCAGTTTGAGGAGAATCAGTCATGTTTGTGTAGTGGACAGATTTGCCACAGTTAATCGCACGATGTTCTCCAGACAGTAGTCGAAGAGCACTGTACCCTCAAATGTCCTGAGCAAGCTTGAATCTTCTCCAGTGTGTAGCAGTTCCCAATGTAAGGCTGAAGATGCTTCAGCAAAGCTGCTGTAGCACAGTGATAAATATCACCGTATCTTTTAGATTTTTAAAGTCAGGAAAGTGAGCCTGTTGCTCTTAACAGACAAAATGTAGATAATCCCCTTTTTGTAAAAGGGTCTATTTCATCCTCCATTCAGAAGTAGGTACTGAACTCCTTTCTGCAGCTGACTTGTCATCCAGTATTGACTGGTTAGTATTTATTTCTGGTCCTGATGTGCGAGAGTTGAGTGCTCGCGTTTTCTCTTGACACATGGGGTCTTGTCGTTGGGCCGTTGCTTTGCTGCTCTGCTGCTCATCTCCCTTATGGCCTGCCAAGAACTGCCGATGTCCAGTCCCCCACTGCACAGTGCTCCTCACTGCACAGTGCTCCCCACTGCAGATGTCCAGTCCCCCACTGCACAGTGCTCCTCACTGCACAGTGCTCCCCACTGCAGATGTCCAGTCCCCCACTGCAAAGTGCTCCCCACTGCACAGTGCTCCCCACTGCAGATGTCCAGTCCCCCACTGCACAGTGCTCCCCACTGCAGATGTCCAGTCCCCCACTGCACAGTGCTCCTCACTGGTGGTGCTTTAGGTGACCAGAGCTGTTGATACAAAGAGTGCACAGCATCTATTTCTTTGTTGGTCAACCAAATGGCATATACATAATAGTATACTGTTTTAAAGGGATGAATTCCAGTAGGAATACTGTGCACAAGGGAACCCTCCCTTTATAACTGTCACATGAAGCTTTATGCCCCATATCCTTTGCAGTAAAAATGTTTGGAGCATTTGGAATCTGAAAGTTTTACTAGAGTTTACTCAATGTTGATATTCAAGTAAGCCTACAGATAATTAAGATTCTTTAATTCTTGTTTCTATATATGAATAGAGGCAACAAAGGATGTGAAGGGATAAATAACAATTCTCTTTGGATACATTTAATTTTCCCTCAACTACATTGTGGTGTCCCCCTGAATTTTAAACTTTTGAGTATTTTCAAATTATCTAAGAATAGTGTAAGCTCTTAGTGATATAAGTTTAGTTTGTGTATGATGACAGACTAACCTGGTAATAACAAGACTGTTTTCATATTCTCATTAAGTTTATACAGACGAGAGTGTTAACCAGACCCCATTTTCCTTTGATAAGCAGAAGTCCCAAGAAGCCTCTAGGACTATAATAACCAATCACAAATCTGCTAGGATTTTTATGCCTATAATTTGACTTCAAAGTCACATTGACGTGCTTCATAGCAAAAAGTCAGTGAATAACTGAAAACTTTAGTTCCAAGAACTTATTACAGTAAGGGGAAATGATTGTTCAGAAGAGCCATTGAAGCTGGGTATGTTGGCTCATGCTTGTAATCCCAATACTCAGGAGGCTGAGGCAGGAGGATCTCAGGTTTGAGACCAGCCTGGAGTATGTAGCAGCGAGACCCAGGCTAGTCTGCACTGGGCTGACAATGAGACCCTGTCTCAAAAAAAAAAAAAAAAAAAAAAAAAAGGAAGGAAAGGAATCATTGGTATAATTTCTTGACTGTAGTAATTTAGTTTACCAATAAAACAAATATGGATGCTTTGTGAGCCCTGGTAGATAATTGGAAAGATTCAGGGACGTAGCAGAGAGCTTTGACTTGAATTTAACATGTTAAGTTTCATTCGAAAGGTGTCCTAGAGAAACTACTCAGCTCTTGGCTTACTCCAGCACCAGGTGACTTCTTTGCCAACATGCCTGCTAATATTGCCTGGGCTGCTGTTCTGGGGGTGGGTGGTGTTTAGGAAGATGGCCTTGGGCTTCATTTCCTCTTCCCAGGGATAAGTCAGTGCATATTAGTCTCTCTTCCTGCTGATACCTGTGTGTTTGTGTGTTTACATAGACACATTCATATAAATCAATTGCTATTAAAAGTCAGATAATGGTAATTGTAGTTTTTTAAATCCATCCATTCTGAACCATGCTATATGAAGGCCCCTGATGGTTCTTTTCCATCATTAGAAAAGAACAAGATTAGTAATTCTGCTTCCTGTGTCTTTTTATAAAATTGCCTGAAGCCCTGGGCTCTGAGAATATAAGACGTAAAGTCTGTTCTGTTTTTATCAGTCTTGATTCCCTAAGGACTGCTGTAAGATTCCCCACTTCAGCAACCTTCCATGTAATACAGATGAATCAGAGTCCTTTCTACATGTAAATACATTTCTTTCTATATCATAACACTGAAAATGGTGTCCATACTTTATGGTTACCTGTCCTTACAGTTTTTATTACAAAGAACAAGCATATAAGTTGGTTATTTTTTAACAGAGACTTGCAACTCACACTGTATTTTTGCACTTAAAGTCAAATTATGTTATTTTTCAAATGGTGAATGACTGGAAAGGATATCTGTAGAGCAATGTGTATCGCTAAAGAACATTAGCAACATCCAAATGCAGAAGTAAATCAGCACACTTAGATCCCACTCATGGGGTACTTGATTCAGGAAGATTAAGGTATTTGATTCCAACTGTCTTACATTTAAAATTGCCTTCACTGATGTATAAGCTGTTACGTACGTACAAGGTGATCCTCAGTATTCACAAGCAATAACAGTCAGCAGAGCTGTCCTCAGACAGCACTGCTGGACCTCAGTTGGAGACTGTTTGGGAGCAAAGTGTCAAGCTCATTCAGAGCCTCTGAAATAAATGCAAGCAATAATTTCTATTAAAATTAAATTATAATTCTCATGCTTCTGAGAACAAAGTGAGAAATCATGATTTTAAAACATTCTGGAGAAAAGAAGCCAAGTTTTTCTATAGTAGCAAAGTCCTTATACTTTGAAGAAATGAAGACGATTCAGTTAGTACATTTTTTCATGCCCACCACCCCTTTGATGGATGTTAGTAGCCCAAATCTATTGTTTTGTGTCATAGACACTGAATAAGGGTTATTTGGGTCCCAACACTGGGGGAAGAACTGGGCATATACCTGTTTGAAGACTGTGGGTTTGACACCTGCTTGGAAACAGCTTATTGGAACTGATAATAACCCAGGATATTTTTTCCCAAAGCAGATCTAAACTGTTTACTATGCAGAGATGGAAAGGGCAGGCACCCCTGTTCTCTCTCCTCTGGCTGCCCTCTCCCACAACCCTTTCCACCTCTACTTGTTCAAGACTTTCTGAAATGAAAATTCTACTGTTATTGTAACTGCCATTCGTTTTGAGAACTCTGTCCTTTGCGATTGTCTCTAGAACTGTTATCTGTCCTACTTGCTGCTACATTTGGAAAATGACTTTGCCTGTGTTGGTTGACTTTAACTTCTCTATTTATAGGAGATGCTGTCATGTACTTTGACCCCTGTGTAGAACTAGGGTACTTTATTTTAGGGGTGTACTGTGAAAGCACACTGGCCCTTGTGTTGTTATTATTACCTAGGTTTTGAATTTGTTTGCTTTGTTTGTTGGATTTTGTTTTATTTTTCAAATTGAAATATAGAATAATGGAAAACTCTGTATCCAGGCCAAACTTGAGAGCTGTCCTGTGCTTCAGCATGAGTGCTTCTGCTGACCCAACGTTCTCCGAAGGGCACTTTGACCTTTAGTTGTACACGTGTGACTTTTGTGTGTTTTAGCTTTGGGGGTGCTTTTGGTTTTATAAAAACAAAGCAGAAAAGAAGTGCAGTAGTAGATAAATGATCACAAACACGTTATGCAATTTTATTTTATAAAAGTTTAAAGGAAAAGTTTAACTCCTTGTAAATAATTTCTTATCTCTGGTAAAATGCTTATATTACTCCTCTAAACCATGCTCAATTCAGGCCTTTGTCTTTGTTAAGTGCCTTTTATTTCTTTCTTTTTCTCCCCTCTTTAGAAACTTTTCAGACACCCTCAAGTACATACTGATTAAGTCAGGGGATTCAGGAGAAAGAATCTCAGACTTGCCAAAATCATGTCATGTTATAATAATACTCTTCCTTCTGCTTTGTATGCTCACGAGAACAAGATGCACAGTGTGTGTATAAACCAGGAACAGCTGTTCCGTGGCAATCTTTCTAAGCACTGCCCTTTTGACATTGCAGAACTTCTACCTTGTTTCTTCCATTGCTTTGGGTTGGTTCAGATGGGCAGATCGGGAAGTAGTCTTTGCACATGATGCTGGCTTCCCCTTCTGAATATCTGTAAAAGTTAATATATGTATGTGTGTGTGTGTATATAGGGCATTATATATATAAAGCATATACATGTTGGTTATTGCAAGCATAATAAACGCGGTGGACTCACTATTTCTGGATGTAATCCGCTTCTCTCTACCCCTTCAAATTTGGCAGAAGCAGTGTGTTAAGAAGCATCAGAATAGCGAGAGCACCTTGTGGGTCAATCTGATACAGTGCCCTGTGCAGACAAGATCAAACAAACACATGCAGGGCTAGAGCTAGCCCCATGCAGTACTAGCTGAATACACTTTGAAAGAAGGGAGCACCATTGTCATTATTAAAAGGTGTTTTCTTCTGGAAAATTGTCTTTAAGAAATTATAGAGCTGAATACCTTTTAAAACTTCAATAAACTTAGATTTTAGATAGTGAGGAAACACTCATCTGCAACATACTTGAGAGATTTTTCAGTCTCTTCATTTTCCAGATGATTAGATTTTGATCTGATTTCATGATCATTTAAACATCTTTGTTGAGCAAAACAATATAACTTTAAGTATCTAAGTTTCTTTTTAGATGTGACACGTTGAAAGAGACTAAGTTGAACCAATTCTCTAAACAGTACACATATTTACAAAGGACCCCGCTTAAGTAAATCATTAATTGGAAAATGACACTTGTGGCTAAAAGAAGAAACTCCTGGTAGCAGAGCTGTCCTCAAGGCAGCTAAGATCGGTAGTGAGTGTGAATTCCCAAACTCCTTTATCTAGGGGGATGTCATTTAACCTTTGTGCCTCAGATTACCCATGAGACAATTGGGTATAATAATAATCGCCTACCTCCCAGGGATATCAGAGACTTTACTATTTCAAAAATATTTTGAGTTTTTCTAGAACATCCTATATAATTATAGTATTATCTTCCTGCAGAGGTTGAAAAACAAATGTTTTCCTTATAGTGGATATAAAGAGCACCCTATGGTCTTTATGTTTAAAAAAAAAGTCACTGGAATTTAATTTAGATACATATTTGATATTTAAACATACCATATTTGTAGTGTGGTAGAATTATTAGTTTCAGATTAACTCAAAGGAGAGGACACTAAGTTTCTTAACTACCAATAGATTTTTTTAAAGCTTTTATGATATTATTACTTGTGTGATGTTTTTGAAGGTTGTGAAAGTAAAGTTAGATAACGTTTGGATTACTGATAAATGATCCTGAAAGGTTATAGCCTCCCTCTTCTGCCTTCTGAACCTAATTTCCTTGCTTGGTGATGGAAAGCTAAGTTTTTAACGTGTCTAAGAGTAAGTCAGACCCTGCACACTGCTTCTGTGTCTAGGTTTATCCAGCTTTGCCCTGGAGGATGGGGCAGCCTACACCTAGACAAGTGTGTATACTTTTAACTTTGTAACTCATGCTTCTTCAGCCCATGAGCAAATCAGAGCGATCGCTGCTTGGGTTGTAGGAAAATAGGAGAAGGATGACAGAATTCACTTCCTAGCTGTGGCAAAGGAGAGATGGTCAGGATAGGAGGAAACATGATTTCCCTCGCTCCTGGGAGGAGATTAAGATCATTTTATCTCACCTTCCATTTGTGCATACTAAGTAATAATGCATAAAGTGTTTTTCTTTAAAATAACAGGAACAAATGGATGTTGCAGTTTTTGTAGTATGAGTGAGTTTAAATTACAGCACATATTCAGGGTCAGCAAAGAGAGTACAGGGTGTTGAGGAACAATTACCCAGCTCAAGTGAGTTAGGAGAAAACACTAGGCCTAAGCAGCCAGCACATCTGGGCTGACCCCAGAACTGGCTCAGACCTGGTCATTCTCTAGTCCTAGGGGATTTTCTGGTGTTTTTTTTTTTTTTTTTTTTCTCTCTCTCTCTCCTCCACATGAGGCCTTAGCTCATAGCCTCTGAGGATCAGCTGCGTACATAAGCATACTCTTCGCTTTCCACATTTCCTTCTTGTTCCACTCCGCAATAACAAATGTTAAGATTTCAACCCAAAGTAATGAGGGTTAGGGGTGTTGTTGAATGTGTGTGCATTTCCTCTGGGGAAGAGTGACAGCAGCCTAAAATAGGTAAGTTGTCTGTGTTATGTGCCCTAAAATGTGAACTTTACATAACAAGCCAGCTGAAGATCCTTTGCCCGTGCAGACCTAGAGTTAGTGTCGTGGATCATGTTTGCGCTTTGATGAAGTCACCCATTGTAATTCTGAGAAGTGTAGTGTTTTGGCTGACAGAGCTAAAATGCTGGCTCAGGCTCTCCCTGAAAACAGCTTCAAATATTAGTGTTGAATTCTTCATTTCTTGTAGTCTTCATTCTTGCCTTTGGGGTGGAACTCTGAAGTTGCCACTCGCTCCTCTCCAGTGTGAGTTGTTGTTGTTGAATCTAGGGAGGGTTAGGGAAATGGATCCCACACCCCCCTCTCCCTCACTTTTCCATCTGCCCTCTGTCCCCACCACACACAACGATAGTGTAGGGACAGTTTATATCTTAGCGGAGGACAAAAGCATAGGTCATCTTTACGGTGTGGTGGAGATACCTTTGACTAGCCTGATGCTAAATGACACTTGCACACTCTACCATTTGCTTTAAAGTGATTGTTTGTGATCTCCTTGTGTTGTGATGTTGCTGCTTCTCTGTTTCCTCTGTATCCCCATTTCATGTAGCTGCCATTCAAACTAGGGGTAGTTTTTACACTGCTACCCAAACTGGTAGGATCATTTTGAAGTCTCAGTAGTACAATTAAGGTTCTATACATAGTCCAGAACTTACAGATTACTGATGATTGGGACTTTTCCTCTTCTCGTTGATATTAAAAAATAGGTCTCATAGGCTGAGGGTGTAGCTCAGTGGTAGAGCTCTTGCTCAGCATGTGCAAAGTCTGGAGGTCCCTATCCAGCAGTGCAAGATAACAATAATAGATCACATTTTTACATAATACCAGTACCTTTCAGGATTTGTCAAAAGAAGTACAATCTTCATTAGGAGCTCATAATAGTCTGGCTTGCTTCTTTTCTGTGTCTCGCCTAGAACAGAGCTTTTTTGCTAAGGTCTGTCTGAGCCAAGCAGACCATTGAATCCTTAGCCCCAATTTTAAGTTCCCCAGAAAATTCTTTTGCTTCTGATAGTTACATAATTGTGTCTTACTCTGAGTCTGGCTGGTGGATGCTTGGTGGTAGAACTCTGGCTGTCATCAGAAAAGATGTCTTACCTGAGATAACGTAAAAGTCAGCAGCTCCATCTGTCTTCAGAGTCCATTTTAGAAATCGACAGCAACCAAGACTAACCATTGCCCTCATGACAACTTGTACTTAAAATTTTACAGCCGTATTGTATTTTCTGTACTTAACGACCATAAACTTTCTTCCTTTCTTGCTTTCCTTTACTGTTTGCAGAAACCTTATGCACTGTCAGAAAATTGCTTTTTCCCCCACACTGGTAAAATTACCAAAAACTACCAAGGATTAGCCTAATTTTAGCTAGAAACATAAAAAGGGAAATAAATTTTTTGTCAGTTAACAAAAGTGTTTGTTTTAAATAGTTAGAAAGTTGAGCCAACTTTGGCCAGCTTTTTTGACATTCGACTCTGCCTCCATAGGGATTATATATCCTTTTTTGGCGTGTGATCATCAAGGGCCTTCCCCTGGTAGGGGTTGGTTTCCCTCCCACACAGCTTCCTCTGGTTTGTAGTTAGCATCCAAAGAAGAGAGCCAAGCTTTGTAGTGATCTATTGTCAACTGTCACTGAGAAACTATCTTACTCTAGGAAGTACTGGAGTGCTAAACTGTTGTTGGAGGAGAGGATGCTCATTTGATCCTCCCCAAGGTTTCTCTGGTTAAACTGTGTCACACTTTAAGGAGAGGAAAAGAAATCTCTGGCTGGCGAAAATTTTGCCCCCAAGTAATGAAGTTAAGTCTAACCTAGGTGATTAGGAGATGAGTGTTTTCTCTCTCTGCTTGTGAGCAAGGCTTGTAATTTTAAGAATACCATGGAACTGCAGACCTATTTGCTATAACTGGAAAACAAGAATCTGGATTTTAGTCTGGTGAAGCACATATTTCCAACCCTATGTTAAGGTCTAGGTAAGGGGAGACTTTTGTTTAGTAGCAGAAGGAAAAACTGTTATTTGTACCATGAGTGTCCACTCTCCCGTAAGCTCCACCCTACACAGATGCACATTTGCGAGCCAGTCTCTGGGAATGGAGCCTGAGGCGTTGATGGTCCTTAGGGAAAGGCCCCAGCTACTGTGCTGCATCTGCTTGTAGGAAGGTGTGTTTTTGCTAACTTGAAGGAATATATGCTGTATTTCAAATAAGTGTGTGACTTAATACTTTGGGATTTTTTTTCCTCTAAAAACTGGACCTGAACACAAGCTTTGAGTTGGTATTTGTAATAATCTCAGGACCTGAAAGATTGTAGCATTTAGTGTGTCTTAAAAATTATGTACTGTACCAGCCATGGAGTTTTGTAAATATACCTGTCTCCCTTTTTTTGTATTATTTTAGTAAATAAATAAATAAATTTAATAAAAGGGGGTGGCGATGGTGTGTGTGTGTGTGTGTGTGTGTGTGTGTGTGTGTGTGTGTGTGTGTGTGTGTGTGGCTCTTTTAAGACAAACTGGTGCTTGTTGAATTTCTAGCTAAGCTCAGCGGGAATATGAACACTCTGCTGCCCCTGACCCTGCACTGAGCAAGGAGGAGGCCTTTCCCTGCCTTTCCCGTGGTCTCGGCAGTGCTAGCAAATGGGAGCATGTTAGACCCCAAGCCCTTCCTTCTCCACAGCCATCTCGCTGTCTCGATCTGGGTCTACTTCCAGCATCCTTTAAATTCTGGCACTAAAGCTTCTACACTTCACCAATTCCTGATTTTAGTACTCACAACTTTCCTCAGTAAAAAAAGAAGGGCAGGTTTAGGAAAAAACAAAACCAACAAACAGAAACTAACAACAGAAGAACCTCCCATGTCATGAGACCCCTTGGGAATTTTGGATGTGGGAACATAAACATTCCTGAATGTGAGCTTGCACTGGCCCATGATACACTCCTTCAGTGCAGGGACTTCAGTTGGTTTTTCTTTGTGGCAGCTCTGTTCATATTCCATGTGTAACTAGCAAACCCATTTTGAAATAAGAGCCTTATTTGATTCAGAATAGATGTTTCCTGCCTATCCTTTATGGCAGGATCTTTTACATGAGTGTTTTCTTTTTGTACATGTTATGTGTTTGTTGTATTAAATAAAGAGTACTGTAAATATTACTCATGTCTCCTGTGTTACTGCGCTAACTTGAGTGTATAGAGGTTCCACTGTCATCAGGGGTTGAGAGTGTGTTTTACTGTACCCAGGCACCATAGACAAAGAAAGGGCACACAGCCTGCTCGTTGTGTTCCTAAACAGTTTGCAATCACTTGACAATATACAGTTGTCAAGAATCACTCAAACTTTGTGTACAAAAATGTGCTCCGTTGCCACTGGAGTTCTGTCCTAGAGCAACAGAGACTCCAAGACATGGAGAAAGCTTTAGGTACACCGCGGAGGACAGATGAGAAATTGGCAGTCAGAAAGAAACGGCAAGTGCGTGTGCTGGGAGGTGTCCGTTTGAGTGGCAGATGAGGGCAGACGGTAGAGTCCTAGCCTGCGGGCTCACTAGGTCTGTGTACATCTTGTCATCTCAGAAGTTGGTGTGCCATCCACACGTGCCTTGGCGTGGCTTGTCCTTTTCTGTGTGTATTTACCACTGTGTCCTGGCGTGTGTCCCTTCACCGTCTCCCACTGATTTTTTTGCTAGTATGTGGAGAACAAGTTGTCATTAGACAGGCAGGTTCACATGGCTGCACTAGGAACTCTGGCTGCACATGTGTTCTTGCCTGGTTTCCCCACCGTGAGAGTGGTTGGATTAGACATGTGGACATCCTTTTCCCTGTCTTTGCTTCTCAATGCGTGCTTCCTCTTTCCCGTTTCTCCAAAACACAGAAGTGAAACGGTCATGTGAAAACATGCTGTGATCACTGGTTAGCTAGCACAGAGGTCTGGATAAAAACCCACCCAGAATGCTTTCATCACAGGTGTCAGACAGACACTTCTGACTTACAAAGGAAGGGGAATCTTGTGTGCCTAAGCAGTCTTTAAAGTTCCCCTGGTGCAGGGGAAGCTTTATCTAGTGGTCCGTCTCTTCACAGGTAACCTACCTGCTGCTGGTCTCAGTTCCAAACCGTATGTAAGCATGTACGGCTTATAACGTGTCAATTCAAAAGCAGTCTCTTCCCAGACTACACACTTTATCCTTCTGTCCATCCTTAGTCCTGCTCCGTCCTGCAAGCATCTTTTCCTGTTTTGATACGTTCCCTTGCTCATGCATCTTGGTAGGTAGCGTTACTTTGCACGCGTACAGTTTTAATGTATACAATCGATACTCTGCTACAAATGTCTCCTGCCTTTTCTGTTGGGTTAATCTGCATTGTTCCATGTACTGTGTGCTTCTGTGGACTGTTGCATCTGTCTTCCTAAGTGTGTATCCTAACCCACTGTAAACTGCTCATTCCCTAGAGGCCGCTACCCTAGGTTATCCTCAGTTCCTCGTTACCAGAAAAAAATAAAACAAGAACAAAGAAGACTCGCTTTCTGGGAATTACTTGTTCATCTTTGCTTGCTTTTCTGTTGCACCTCTGTCTTCATTGTAGACACCACTCTCTCTCCAGTCTTGGATGTCTGTCTTTTTTTTTGGAAAGAGTTTCTCTGTGGCTTTGGCGGCTGTCCTGGAATTAACTCTTGTAGACCAGGCTGGCGTCGAACTCACAGAGATCCGCCTGCCTCTGCCTCGCAAGTGCTGGGATCAAAGGCGTGCACCACCACTGCCTGGTTGGATGTCATATTATCCATTCCCCACATGGCATCCTTTACTGAACAGAAATCCTTGCTTTTTTAATAGTCAAGCTTAGCAAGTGTGGTGGCACACCCTCAGGAGACCAAAGCGGGAGGATTGCGAGTTTGAGACCAGCCTACGCTACATGATGAACCCTGGTCACAAAGAGGTCGGGGAGATGAGAATGAGAATATGTGGGTGCTCTCAGGCCTTGTTTCTAACATATTCCCTGTCCCAGACCACAGGGAAGATTTCGCTTATCTCTAGCTTCTCCTCTGTCACTCACCTGCTATTTCATTTCCTAAGGATTCCCCCCCCCCCCCCAGGCCACCGAGTGCATCCTCCGGCATCAACGTGTAGTGCCAGTTTTGTCCTCTGCCCAGTTCTCATGGAAAGAAGGCTCTGCGCTCTGAGGACATGGGACTCCATGGGACTTTGTCCCTCTACACTAGCACTGCTTGTCACTCCTATGGGTTTACAGTCGGCTTCACCCGGACTCCTCAGTTGTCCTCTGCCCCCCCTGTGTTGAGTGAAGCACCTGTAGATTTTTACTGTCGTGTAAGTTTCACGTGGCGTAGGGCTGGAGAAGTGGCTCAGTAGTTACGGCTCTTTTTCATACAGAGAGGACCCAGCTGAGCCAACATGGCAGCTCACAGCTCCGAGGGGTCCAGTGCTCCCTTCTTACCTGGGTGTTCACCAGGCATACACGTGGTACACAGACATACATGCAAGCAACACCTCATACACATTAAAGTATAATAGCACGTGCCTTTAATCCCAGCACTCTGGTGACAGGTAGGTGAATCTCTGTGAGTTCAAGGCCAGCCTGGTGTAAATACCAAGTTCCAAGATAACTAGAGATACACAGTGTGAGACCCTTTCTCAAAACGAAGAAAAAAATCACATTGGATTAAAGAATTAAGCTGAAGGGGGCGGGTAGAGTAGTCTTGGGAGTTAAGAGCACTGGCTGTTCCTCCAAAGGGCCGGGATGGGATGTCCAGCAGCCGCATAACCATCTGTAACTCCAGTCCCGGGGAGGTCAATGTCCTCTGACCTCCTTGGGGAACCAGACACATAGAGTGCACAGATAAGCATGCAGGCAAAATACCTATACACATAAAAGTTTTCAAACCTTGTTTTAATTACTTTTTTATTGCTGTGAAAAGATACAATGACCAAGGCAATTTTTTAAAGCACTTAAGTTTCCGAGGACTTAGTCCATTATCATGGTGGGGAGCATGGGAGCAAACAGGTAGACACGGCACTGGAGCAGTAACTGAGAACTCACACCTGATCCACAGGCACAAGGCGGGGAGAGAGAGAGAACTAACTGGGCCTGGTGTTGATTTTTAAAACCTAAAAACCCACAAAAAGTGACACAAGGCCACACCTCCTAATCACTCCCAAAATTGTTCCACCAGCAAGGGACCTAGTATTGAAATATATGAGCATATGAAGACCATTCTCCTTCAAGTCACCACAAAACTGGAATTTTTATTTAGATAGGATTAAATTTGTACAGTGGTTTAAGAATGGAATACAGGCCTGGCATTAGTGGCACATGCCAGCACTCAGGAGGCAGAGGCAGGTGGATCTCTGTGAGTTAAAGGTCAGCCTGGTCTACAGAGGGAGTTCCAGGATAGCCAGGGCTACACAAAGAAACCCTGTTTTGGAAAACCAAAAAACAGAGAAATGTTTGTGTATTGGTTTGTTGATCTTTTCAGATGATTTACACCCTCTGTGCTCTCTGTTTTTCTCTTAGAGGTCTTACATACTATGCTTTAGGTTTTTGGTGTATAGTTCATGAAAATATCCTAGCCTCTGTTACTTGGCTTTTGTTTTTTGTTTTTTTTTGTTTTTTGTTGTTTTTTTTTTTTTGTTTTTTTGTTTTTCGAGACAGGGTTTCTCTGTGTTGTTTTGGAATCTGTCCTGGAACTCACTCGGTAGACCAGGCTGGTCTCGAACTCACAGTGATCCGCCTGTCTCTGCCTCCCGAGTGCTGGGATTAAAGGCGTGCGCCACCAACGCCCGGCTCTACTTGGCTTTTGTTACTTGTGCTAAAGAGCGCTGTTAGTCAAGCGTGACCACACACACGTCTGTGACCCTCTCAGTGAAAAAGATGAAGAAGGATCTTGAGTTTGAGGTCAATCTTGTCCACACAGAGACTGTCAAATGTCAAAGCAGGAGTTGTTTGGGAGGGTTGGCGGCTAGGCAGAGAAAATAATAAGGAAAGGGAGGGAGGGAGGCTGGAGAGAGGGATCAGCACTGTAAGATCACTTGTTCTTCCAGAAGATCCAGGATTCGCTGCCAGCACCCACAAGGCAGCTCATAACCATCTGCAACCTCCAGGGTATTCCACGCCTCTTCTGGTAGACACACGCTGTGCAGACATACATGCAGGCAAAACACATGTACACGTAAAATAATAAAAAGCAGCACTAGATTTGAGGGTGGCAGGATAGAATTCTCTTCCCGGGAAAAGCCCGAGGAAAGGTGTGTTGGACTTTATGGTGTTTAAATGAGCCTCCGACTCTGGGCTCCTGCTGTCTTCTCCCAGCCCTATTGTGGAATCTGCACACTGCTCACACGCTGTTGACTCCTGTCCGTGTGGCTCGGTCTCCCTCCTCCCTTGCCTCTCTTCCTCTTCTGAGTGATGCAAACATGCAACAAGGCACTTGTCTGCCATTGACTGTCCTCTTTGCTTTCCCCCTTTTCCTCCTCATCTTTTCCGTCTTTTTCGCTCTGCCAGAAATGGGGCTCAGGCACTCCCTACCACTGAGCCAGCACCCCAGCCCTGGACATAATTACTCCTTTTCCTCACCGCCTCCCTCACTGCTATTTTTGTGGCAAGATGTGGCCTTGAGCAGAAAGTTCTGATTCAGTTTCCTGAGTGCTGGGTTACAGGCTTGCACTGCCACACCCAAATACCCACTAATTTTTCTTTTTTTCTTTTTTTCTTTTTGGTTTTTCGAGACAAGGTTTCTCTGTGGCTTTGGAGGCTGTCCTGGAACTCACTCTGTAGACCAGGCTGGTCTCAAACTCACAGAGATCCACCTGCCTCTGCCTCCTGAGTGCTGGGATTAAAGGCGTGCGCCACCAACGCCCGGCTTAATTTTTCATATTTGATTATACACCCATTACCTTTACTGAACTTAAATTTTGGTGGAAGTGGTATTGGGGATTTGAACCCAGAACCTCACACATGGAAAGCATGAGATTGACACCCAAGCTCCATCCTGGCACTAAGCTTTTGATTTTGTTTTTGGTTTTACGAGACAGGGTTTCTCTCTATTATTTTGGAGGCTGTCGGTCCAGCCCAGCCTCGAACTCACAGAGATCCGCCTGCCTCTGCCTCCCGAGTGCTGGGATTAAAGGTGTGCGCCACCACCGCCCGGC